AGTTTTTCCCGTGGTAGTAAATTTCTCGATTGAGGTGTGGCCACCATATGTTCTCTGCCAGCGCTTTCATCCCGAATTGTCCTGGATGAGTTTCGTGCAATAGTGTCATAGATGGAGATCTGAGGGCTGCTGGAACGATTAGCTTGTTGTCGTTGAATAGTAATCCTTCCTTCACGTGGATGTCTCGTTGGAAGGTATTCAAGTATGCTCCAAATCTATCCAAAGGTCTACCTTCTTCCACCGACTTCTTTACGTCCTTCAGTATTTTGTTCTCGTCTGTCATCAATTTAATCAGTTTGCTGAAGCAATGGTCCGTAAATACTAGTGGGGTTGTAGGTAATTTTAGCTCTCCCTTGTATTTTGCAAGAAGTTTCTTATGAATTTCCGAGATAATGTCGTTATCAAATTTCACTGAAATTCCTTGGCTTTCTGCCCGAAGGATAGTTTTAACTAATTTACCGAAGATTGGAATTCTGTAATTTTATAATTATCTTCTCGTTTTAGAATCGACAAGTTTGATAAAAAAGACTGTGATAAAAAGAGATAAGTTTTGTCTGAATGGAAAATTCGATTAAAGTTGAATTTGGAGAGATTAAGTGGAATACAACTGCTTTTACAAGAGTCTGAGCGCGAGTGATTAGAATTACAAATTCGTATTGTGTCTGTGACCTAATTAAGAACATTCGCGAAGAACGACCGTTGGATGTGTTGTAGTATTTCTTTCTTTCCGCCCGTTGGATTTGCGCAATCCAAGTTAAAAATACTATGTACACAACATACATCCACTGGACTATTGATTAACAATTCGTTCTTCGTAGAATTCTTCTTTTTACTATCACTATTTACAGTAAGGTTTTCTAAAGTCTGGTTCACCGTTGACACCTCGAATTCGTTATCATAATATGAGGTTGGTAGGGCTTTTCCTGTGGGTCGATAATATGTCGGTGAATCCCACTTCTTTTCCTGGGATATGTTTGATTTTGAAATTAAACGGCAAAAGTCGATTTACCTAACGGGTCAGTCTACTGTGCATTGTTTTATTGCTCTGATTTGCGTTTAACGCCGATAATAGTGCCATATGATCCGTAACAATTTCCAACTCGGCGCCGTATAAATAATTCTCGAAATTTTCAGTAGCCCAAACCACTCCTAAAAGTTGAGTTCATTAGTTGAGTATTTCATTTCATGGTTATTTAAAATCGGGAGGCAAATGCTATAGTTAACCAATTTTCTCCATCCCTCTGTTCTAGTGTGGCTCCCAAACCACTGTGTGAATCATCTGTTTTTAATCTGGACATCTTTTTTATGTTGAAATGATTATTCTCCGTTATATATACAAACTGTCTTTTTAGTTCTTCAAAAGCTTTCGTGTGGGATTCATCCCATTGGTAAACTGATTTTTTGACTAATGAAGGACGTAACGGAGATCTTAGTGTTGACAATTTCGGAACGAATTTCATGTATTGGTTTCGGAACGAATTTCTTGTATTGGTTTATTGAACCAAAGAATGATCTTAATTTGGAGATATTCTTCGGGTTTGGGAGATTTTTTATTGAAGCGGATATCCCAACCAATGGTTTTAACCCCCGATAGGGTTATTTTGAACCCCAGCCATTCAATGTCTTTTTGAAAGAATGCGCATTTCTCCATATTGACTGCCATGATCTTACTTTCCAAAGTATTTCCAGAGAATCGTTTTATATTCTTCTGAAGATCCTTTTGTGGCATTTAAAATGTTATCAATGTAACAGTTGTTGAAGGGAATATCTTTTAACAACGAATCCATCTCCCATCCCATAGAATCCCGTTGAAAATCGGTTTGTTTTGGTGGTTTCGCCTCCTACAATGATGAAATTGCATTGTTTACTCGTGTCATTGCATAATTGTAGTTGGCTCTAAGCGTTTTTCAAATCTAAGCTACTGAACCACACTTCCCTTGATTTTTTTTGAAAGTTGGATGAGCGATGTTGTCGATGAGTTCGTGGTTATTAGGCATTTGATATTTATTCTTGAATATCTGATCATTTAAAATTTTTCGAGTCTAGAGCTAATTTAATACTGCCATCCTTTTTTCTTGTTCGATTCTATTCAATTCTGCCTTAACGCTTTCTAGTAAATGTAAGGGAACTCTTCTACCTTTGGTTTGAATTGGTTTGAACGGGGAATGGAAATGAGTGATCTTTCTGTCCGATGGTTTTTCCTACACTTTTAAAAAGTCCTATGAAAATTTTGTACAAGTTGAGAATTGTATTCGAATAAGTAGTTGACTTACTCTGACCCGGAAGTGCACAGTGTTGACAGGCAGTAATGGTTGTCTCTGTGCAATTTCTATTCCTATTCGGGGTAGGTTATCGTTTCCTGAGATGTTCCTTTCGTGTCCAGTGGTGATAAAAAATGGAGTTTCTTCTGAAATCCATCCGTTGGATTGTATCCTGACTACTACTTTCCCGATAATGTTGATTGTGTTATTTAGTAAAACCGCAATATAGTGCTCGAATTTTCTTGTCGACGGGATGAATTTTTAGCTGTGGATCTCTCAATTTCAGCTCATTTAGAACATTCTGTTTAAGAAGCTTACTGGACTACCTGAATCCACTGGAATATTCAGGTTTACATTTGCGCCCTCGCCTAATCCAATATTTACAAGTTTCTTAGTTTCTACAACGGCCGTAGTCGTCGTAAATGGTTCGAATGTTTAGTACTGAATAATCGTCGTTGTCACTAGTTCCCTCTTCTGTCCAGACATTTATCAACTCCACAAAAATTTTCATATGTGTTCACTTGTGGCTCTTCTGGGGAATATGAACAATTAGGATTATTTACATTTTCTTCTACATTATTTACAACTGGCCTTCTCCCTTTCGATTTACGAAGGTTTCCAAAATGTCCTTTGTGTTTACAAATATTACAGATTTTTTCTTTTGCTGGACACACGTTCAAATGTCCCTTGGTAAAAGCGTTTCCACATTTCATACAGGTGTTGGATCTTTCTATATTCAAGCGTGGTTCCTTTTTACAGTATTAAATTTTTTGTACACTCTACCGCTAGTGAAGTTGGTTGCCCTTGTCATGTTTGTTAGTTTGAGATGGTTGTAGTAGCCTTTCTCGTCTATGATAGCTTGGGCGAGTGCGTCCACCAGATTAAGTGTTTCCGAAAGGAGTCTTCGTTGTAGGTCACAATTCTTCATTAAATATGAATACGTCCCTTTTCCATTCTTGCTCTGCATTGATACCAATTTCACAAGATCTTTCAAAAGATCTTGCTAAGTCCGACAACGCTCCCCAGAATTGTTCGTAGGACTCTCTCTTTTGTTTTCTGCTCAACAGTTTCTATCGTTCGAGCGTGATGTTTGTTGGCTTAATGAATGCTGTCTCCGAGCGGTCGAAAAATTCTCTGAAGGAGATTGCTAAGACCTTCACCCTTGGCTGTTTTTAGGAAAACACTCTCTTCGCTTCGGCTCCTAAGGCCAGGTATAGGATATATCTTACTTTTTGTCTGCCTCGTATCTCCTCATGCCCCCGAGTTTTCGTTTCTCTTCTCGGGTTCGTTTGTCTTCTGTGTGTTCGAAAACTCGCATTGCTTCTCTGTTTCTGGCCTCCCTGGCGTTCCTCTGTGGTTTATCTTCTGAATCCTGGGCGCCCTCTAAGATAGTGATTGTAGTTTCCAGTTCCAATGGTTCTTTAAGATTGTCTATGTCCAAGTTCTCTCAGGCAATGATGGCCAGATGGAACTTATCTATCCAGTTAATCCATTGGGTGGGTGGTTCTACGGTGTGATTTGGCCAAAAGGCGGGGGTTTCACCGCAAATTCGAAGCAGTCGATGACTGCGCCATAATAAAAGTGTGCAATAATAAATTATACCACTGGTAAGCTAAACTAACTAATCTAAGTTACTAAGTTACAAGAATAAAAGGTAAGTGTGTTAAATTTAAACTGACCTATGTCTAAATAGAACAACTAGTGACGCGAAGTCCACTGGACTTCGTACAGCTAACAACTTGCTGGTATCTAAATAACTAATAGAGGTCAAGGTTACTACTTTGAGATACACAATCACAAAACCATTATTATGATTATTCTTCAACGATAACAACGTTCGAAGTCTTCTTTGTTAGTTCTTGAGTGTCTTGCTTTTTAATTCCTCTACTTGCTTGTTGTATGACAAGTGGTGCACAGCAAAGCGCGCATCAATAAACGATATTTTTTTTTATCGCCGCAACAGTCCAATAAATAATTAGCACAATCACCTATCACTCAAAATTTCTAAATTCTGTCAGCAAACAAAAAGTTTTGGAATTTTTTTTTCAATTGTTACAGCAGCGAGCTTTGATGTAGTAGGTTCATTTTTTTTTTTTTTTTTTTATTTGCCCCCGGCCTGCTCAGTGCAGGACCAACCGTGGGGGAGGGGGAGATGTCATCCATTTTGCCGCAGCCGGTCCCACCTTGAGGAGGCGGATGACACTAGGACCCCTCCAGCCGTGACCGAGTAGGTTCATCGACAGTTTGCAAAATAAGAAGTAGCGAAATACAAGTCCCGAAAGATAGAGCCGCCCTTAAATGGATTTTGAAAGCCGCTCTGGCTCGCAACAAGAAGATAAAACAAAATTTTCACTATCGGCTCAACTAGTTTTCGGAGCTTCTACATCATTAAACAATCTCTCTAACCAAAATTTACAGAATGATCTATTAAAAGTGGATGTAACATACTAACAAAACTATTCCCCATCAAAAGTAAGTAATATTGAAGTTGTTTGCTTAACTTAAATGAAGATGAAGCGATTACCAGGTTTGGGAGTTTTTATGAAGAGGAAATCTATCAAAAAACCGACACTATCAAAGGAGCCCCCACAAAACTTCTGTATCTTTCCCTGTAGAAGTCTTAGTATCGAATTAGGTTAGTTGCTTATTGCTCAAAGTCAGCAACAGTTTTTTAGATCCTTCTTTTTTTATTCTCGTTTGATATTTGAAAGGTAATTTTGTCTCTGATTGAATTTACAGGAGCGGTTTGAAGGCAGGCTGCTGAGTCACTTGGATGCTTCCCTCATGCTAGCAACACAAGCACAACCTAGCCCAAATTCAACTGCAATAGACGCAGATTGTTCACGGGGCTCTCCTGGCGGAAGAGTTACCTCAAGAGATCAACAGTATTATCACAGTCATCCGAAGCTGGAAAAATTAGAACAGATTGTGTTGGATCATTTCACGACTAGTTAGTGAAGTGAAAACAATAATTTCAAACTTTTACAGGTTATCTATCGCTTTTTAGGAAAGCGGGGGCTCATTGAATTATAATGAGTAAAACATCATACTTATTTACTGATGAATGGTGAAGAGGGTTGTTTTCGAAAATTGTTGTAAAGGAGTGTACTTTAAATGATAAAAAAATAATATATTTTTTTTTGATTTAGGCTCTGACTGGCGCGGCACTCGTGTCATGATTTTCTCCACTTTCCGAGAAAGTGTTCACGAAATAACTGAAATGCTAATGCGGCATCAGCCAATGATCAAAGCAATGAGTTTTGTTGGCCAGGGCAACCAGAACACTGGAGGAGGATCGAATCACTCCGCCTCCGATTTTAATGCAGCAACCGAAGATTACATACGTTTTGGGGATAGTGATTTGAATGGCGATCTTGATGCTTCGATGGATGAAGTTTCCACTTGTAGTGTAGCTAAGAAGGGAGACACTGCTGGCAAAGCAATTCCTGGCAGGGGGCTAAAACAAGCGCATCAAAAAAGGGTTAGAAACATAAATGTATTACAGTGCTCACACTGATAGAAGAAATAACAGCTCTGAGGTTCATAAAACTGTTTTTACTAATATTCTGAGCGACCATGATGGCAATGTCAAAACATGAGTTCTGAAGCATCGATAGGTGGACTACGTTTCTGTATATGACTTGAGCTTACCTGTGATTGTTTTTTTACTCATCGACGACAGGCTTTTATTTTTGAACTGCGTACCTTCAATAGATTTTGAATCAGTGTTTCTGATGATGATTTTGATGACAGTAGTTTCATTTGATCAAAAATACAATAAATTAATAAGATGAGAATAAAAATTGATGAGAAAAACCATGATGGTGCCCAAGTTAAATTAAGAAAAACAAACTGTGACTCAGATTATAGTAGCGAAATTGAAGTTAATGATTTATATTGACCAGCAAGCAGAAGATCCATATTTCGGCGGAGTTGAACTTCGTGCTTTAGACTTCCAAATTTGATTGAATTGGAAGCAATTTCGATATAAGATTTTGATGTGTAGATAATTGAGAAGTTCAAGTCCGGTCACTTCAACGTGCTAGTGTCCACGTGTGTGGGTGAGGAGGGACTAGACATAGGGGAGGTGGACTTGATAGTGAACTTCGACACCCCCAAGAGTCTCGTCAGACTCATCCAGAGGGCGGGTAGGACTGGCAGGAAAAGACAAGGGGTGGTTCATGCTATACTCACCGCGGGAAAAGAAGAAAGGGTGAGTATATTTTTACGAGTTCTCTCCTTTATTGGGGATTTTTGCCCCAACCTTTAAAGGGTGCAGGAATTATGTCTTGGGTGTCTTTTGGTTTTTGTGCAGACCACTTAAGTTGAAGAATAAATTTTGCCTTCGCACGCTTAGACAACCAAGTTTCCCAACTTTGCCCTTACTGTTTATTGTCACCCCACACTAGTTGCCACATTTTTAACTGCCCCAGAACTCCCTCTCCTTTTACTCCCGCAGACCTGTGGTTAAGGCCGGTTGAAGACGTGAAATTCCTTAGCCTGGAGACGGTTGAGCAGATTCCGCCCAATATGGGCTAAAGAAAGAAGAGTTGTCTTCGGGCGCTTTTGTAGTTTTGTTCCGTCCTTTGAAGTTGGGGAGAAACTATCTGTTCCGGTGTTTTTTAGTTTTTATTCTAAGCACTGAAATGTCATCTTGCCTATGTAGTACAGAGACTCGAAAAACAATTTGGAATTTTTAGTAAACTAAGACATTTTGTCCCAAGATCGCAACTTTTCAATGACTATAATTGCAATGTAAAATCTATCATGCAGTACATCTGAAGACGTTTTCAAGCAAAATGGTTTACCAACTATATATGAAGTATTTGTATATGAGTTACCGAAATTTGTCTTGCGCTCAATAAATCAGCTTCACTCAGAATTGGTTTTGAACGATATATTTCCATTTGGCTTTCTATCAACAAAATGTTGAAAGTTCCTTTTTGTAAACGCAATCTTGAAAAACACTCCTTGAGATTTGGAGATGCCCTCAAGACTCTGATGCCTTAGCTGAAGAATAAGTTAAGAAATGCTATCACGATATCAAACACAGCTACACACTCGACAACAGTGAACTAAAAGGATTTTTTTTCTCTTTGAAATCGATTATTAAAAACAATGAACCTACGCAAAAAAATTAACGGTGCATTCGAATGGGTTCAAAACAGCTAAATCTTGTGTTTCAAAACAAGTTATTAAATTCCACATAAGATTACTTTGATACTTTTCCTGTTTTCTTTCTTTCCTCGCATAATTCCTCTGACAGCTACAAATCGTGACTGTGCATAAAACGTCTCTTTGTCTAAATGTCTCAAAAAGCTTCTGAGTGAACAAAAAAATGGGAAAAGAAAAAATAAAAACTTAGTTGTGGTACTTTCAGAAAATTTTTTGTTGGCTGTTATTTATTCAGCCAGGCAAACCAGGTGAGTTATTCAACAATTTTTTCTCGCCTACACAATGTTGACAATACATTGAAGAATCATATCAATTTGTAGAAGTGGGTAGACTAAAGGCAGACTGTAAAGTGGAAATTAGTCCCGTTGCCTGTCCTCTTCAAGTCTCTTTTCATAAGGCAAGGTGCTAATATATTATTTGCTGTTATTTTTGTTGCAATTTCTTTTTTTGAAATGATTTGGAATGTTTCCTGTTTTCTTTCTTTCCTCGCATAATTCCTCTGACAGCTACAAATCGTGACTGTGCATAAAACGTCTCTTTGTCTAAATGTCTCAAAAAGCTTCTGAGTGAACAAAAAAATGGGAAAAGAAAAAATAAAAACTTAGTTGTGGTACTTTCAGAAATATTTTTGTTGGCTGTTATTTATTCAGCCAGGCAAACCAGGTGAGTTATTCAACAATTTTTTCTCGCCTACACAATGTTGACAATACATTGAAGAATCATATCAATTTGTAGAAGTGGGTAGACTAAAGGCAGACTGTAAAGTGGAAATTAGTCCCGTTGCCTGTCCTCTTCAAGTCTCTTTTCATAAGGCAAGGTGCTAATATATTATTTGCTGGTATTTTTGTTGCAATTTCTTTTTTTGAAATGATTTGGAATGATTTCAGGAAAAATCTCTGATAACTACAGATGAGCATTCTTACATAATAATGCATTTCTGATGGCACTTAGGAAAATCAGCACTTTTCAGTTCAATTTAGTTTCATCTTAGGTAAATTGCACTCGCCAAATATGAACGTGGAAATGGCGCGAAAAAGTTGAAAGTTTCGAACGTGGATTTTATCTTAAGATTTCCCTTCGGAATGAAAATTTTATGTATCAATCCAGTTTTCTCAAATTGATTTAATTTTTGATCAAAAGCGTGTCAAATCATAAATTCTTCTTGCATTTCAAACAGATTTGAGGTCATATATATGTTGCTTGAAATTCGAAAGTTTCAGGCATTTTTTTCTTATTTCAGACTGTCTTTTCAACTGTCTCTTAGCAGTGTAGCTATGTTCGTTCTGACCATTGAAATTGGGAAGAACCATGTTTTCGGGTGTGTCTTAGGTTTTGTTCCAGCTACTGATATTGGGTAGGGTTTTGTCTAGTTTCGTTCAAGAGTCGATGAATGTAGTTCAGTCTCTTATATAGGTGCTGATGATTTTATTTGAGAAGAATCTTAAAATTTCTTCAGGCTCAAATTTAATTTTTCGCGTTTTGACTTTTGATTTGTTATCAGTCCAGTTCATTTCCTTTTTTAAAAGGAAGGCAAACTCCACAACCAAAGAGCAAAAGTGTAAAGGTCACAAAAAACGTGATCGAATACTATTTTCAAAAGTGGATTTCAATTTTCAGATTTTTCAGCGGAATAAAAAAATTACTTATTGATCCAGTTTTTTTTTTCAAATTGGGTTGGTTTAATCAGAAAGGTGTCAATCATTATTGTTTCTAGAAATTCAATGAGTTTAAAGGACTTTTTTCAAATTCGAAAGTTGAGATTTTTCAAAATATTAGTCAGTATTTTTTTCTGTTTACTTGCGTTCGTTGACTTTTTTCAACTATATGTTCTATTTTTTATCGGCTCAATTTTCAGGGTCTTATTGGAGCTTGCAATTGCAAGCTCTTTCAAAGCAGTTTGCTGGCTCCTTTGCTTTTGGTCTAGAAAAAACGCAGTTGCCTTCGCAGCCGAAGGTCTGGGATTCGGACCTTGTTTTTTTCAGACTGTATGAAGTTTAATTACATTTTCCTAAAAACGTTCATTTATCGGTGTTTCGTTAGTTTACTTATTTTTGTTGGCCTAATTCTCGAAGCCTGGATTTTGTTTTGTAAATTTACCAGCTCGGAATTACTATTTTGTTTTTTTTTTTGTTTTTTTTTATTAGAATGGTTTCGGTTCATATTTTACTGACTTTTTGTGTCATTTGACAGTCAAAAAGAATTAACTTATTAAAAAACTGGTCGTGTGAGGTTTAAAAAGTTATAAAACTTAATCGTTAGAAATTTTTTGTGACAACATTTTTTTATGGATTTGTCTATTGCGGCTCAATGAGCGCCTACTTACGCAATGTAAGCTTTACTGGCCGCGCGGTCAATACAACAAGTTTATTTAATGCTGGTGTTCGGGTTTTCCGACTGATTTTCTGAAATTGAGGTTTTCTTTTTTTTCGAAATTAATTTAATTTTTCAAATATGTATTTTTTTCGACGTAGTTTTTTTCGTCTCATTTTCCATTCGCTTGCGTTCAATGCTACGGTTGTGCTGTACCGCAAGTGGTCCGGAGTTCCGCTTCGCATCCTTATTAGTTAGCGCAGCATTCGTTTCTATCTGATATCTAAGAATTAAGTAAATGTGGAACTAATAAAACCAAGGCGCCATATTTGAGGTTGAGTCAAGTGACTCTTTAGTGGGAGGGCCAAGTTCGAATGCTTGTTCAAAAGTTTGATTTTTGAAGTTCTGTCGTTTGCTTTTTAGCTGTTTTTAAAGCTAATTTTGCGGTTTTTTCTCGTTTTTGCGAATTTGATGTCCATGATTTGTGTTTATTGGTTTGCTACATGAATTAGCTTTTTCTTTACACAGAAAAAAAAATTAAAAAATTGTTCAAATTCATACACATAATCAACATATCCTAAAGTGGTCATATTTTTGCGGATAAATATTTTTTAGCTGTGGAGCTTCTGTTCTTTAGCCTCGCGTTCTGTGACTCAAAATGTCGATATATATTTTCATTTTTCCGGCGTTGCTTGCAGAGCAGCTGATATAATTTACAATTGTCGATGAATGAGTTTTATTTTGTTTTCAGTCTTATAACAATAGCAACTCATCGGGTGACAACAAAATGGACAAAGTTTTGGACTTTGTCTTCTCGAAGTTTATCAAAATGAACCCTGACAATCCACGTGTTATACCACTTGACGCAAACCCGGTAGTGGTGAAAATGTTTCTAGCGAAAGTCAAACCGGAAAATCCTTGCTTAGATTCAGTGACGACTAGTGAAAAAATAAAAACGAAGGTAAAAGAAAAGGCCAGGGAAAAGATCAAAGACCAAGTTAAGGTCAAAGAAAAGGTCAAGGAGAAGATAACGGAGCCAAAGAAACCACTTAGCCGAAACAAGAAGAAACAGAATGAAGAGGAAGAGCGGAAAAAGCGTGAAATTGAAATGGATTCTATATTCGGTGAATACGAAAACAATGAAGAAAAAATGACTGTCGAAGACCATATTTTAGAACCAAACATGGCTGAATCTCAAAATGATATCAATTTCGAACTTGAATTTGCCAAATTTGAATCGGTCAACGATGATATTACAACAATGCCGAGGATAGGAAATAAAACTCCGCCTTTGTCTAGAAAGGTTGGTTTGGCAGATAGTATCACTAGCTCTAAGTCGAAAAGTTTTGCTAAAAAAGAGAAACCAGATACTGAGGAATATTTGATGGCGCTTAAATATTTTCCACTTCCTGATCAATTATTGGAACAGTTCAACAAAATAGTCGAAGCTGACAATGCAGCAGCTGAAAACATCAAGAACTTGTCAGGTTTGTGCAGCGATAGGAAAATTCATTCGTTGCAAGAAATTCGCGGCAATGAGCCTCTCACCAACCGAACCAATGAGTTAAAACTTAACACGACTCTGGAAACTGTTCAAAATGATCAGTTTGTACTTGATGATAAACAAATAATAGGTGATTTGAAAGCAACTGCTAGCAAGGAGAATACTACTAGATTAAGCAAGGAGATTATACATGTGGACGAAAGTTCTAATTCTACAAGTATAGAAATTGTTGATCAAAAACATGATATTTCAGACCACAATTTATCCGATTATTTGAATATTTTGGACAAAGAAGAATTGGTAATGAGTAATCAGACTTCACAATCTATGGGAATCGAAGATAGAAGTGGACGTGATTGTTTAGATATTTCATGCAAAGAAGAATTGCCAATGGCTAATGATGCCTTGAATGTTTCTGAAATCGAAAACAAAAGTGAAGTTAGCCTGGCTAACAAAACTGTTAGTTCTATACTAGAAAAAATCCGCTCTTATTACGGTTCGCTCAGTGTTCCGTTGTTCGAATCAAATTTAACTAAAACTTTCGAAATGAATTATGAGTTTAAGTTTATCAAACCAGAAGAAAGTCATTCGGTTTTCACGCGTTCATCACTTACTGAAGTTCCTTACTTGAATACACCAGGAAACCCTAATTTATCTGGAAAAATTGAGAGGTCGAATTTGTCATCTTATGCTGGAAATAGTAATATCACGACAACTCTTCTATTTGAAAGCGAAAAGAGTTACTCGGCTCCAGTGTTCTTACCGAATTGGGATAAATCGTTAACGAATTGTGATAAGAAAATTGCAATTGTTTCTCCGATGAAAGTGGATACGAAATCTAATCGACGAGATTTGTTGAATTTTCAAAGTTTGCTTTCTGAAAACAAATCTATGGATGATAGAAGCAGCGTTCGGTGCACCAATGAAAAAACAGCCCCAACGAAATTGAAGAAAAAAAGTATTTCTTTGAATCAGAGTTCTGATTCTCCTGAAACATCGCACCGATTTAAAAATGCAAGGAAGACAATGCGAGGTTTTAGTTTTCCGGAACCAAAAATGCCTGATCAGATGAGCGAAAAAAATGCACATATGCATCCAAAATCCAAAAATTTGAAGCTGCTTAATTTTGAACAATCTGATTCCAGCGTGAATAATATAAATACTTCACACGGTTGCAGTAGTCATAGGTTCTCAGAATTGAAAATGGCGGAGAATGTCAAAAATAATAAAAGAAAGAAAATGAAAACAAAAAAGTTGGCTATTAAAAATTTCTTGGCGACTCAAGCAGCTGCGAGTGACGAAGATGAAGATGATGACGAAGATTATCTGTCAGATTGGACAAGTCAAGATGTGAAATTTTTAGCCTCCCAGTCTGTTCATGATACATGTAAGAAAGATATGATCTCTCTATCTCTTGCCTCTCCCCCCTTTTTGCTGCGTTGTGCCTTTCCCCTTTTCCACCCCCCCCCCCCCACACATTTTCGGGTGGAGGAGTGGAAAAGAGCAGATAAATGTTATTAGGTGCAATGTTTGAATTTGGCTGGCCGTTGAATTCATACTTTATTGGAATAGAATTCTTACTAGAAACGAAAGGGGGTGGGTTACTATACTAGCATAAGTGTGTAACAATTGGAAAGATCGGAAAAATATGATTATCGTGGTACAGTTTGGATTTTCTAAAAAAAAAAACTATGTATCGACAGAGTATAGTTTGTTTACTGTGATCAATACTTACTCAAAAACACTATTATGCGCAATAGGTTCTCAAGGCTCTGTTTAAGGTCTTTTCATTTGATATTTATTAACCAATGGAGCTTGCGAGCAATGTGTTATGCTGCGAAGACTGATGTATAGGTCTTGGTGCTTTTTTATTTGTTTTTTGTTGGAAAAGAAAAAGTTTTTTCACGCTAAAGTCTGATGTTTCGCGGTAGTTTCACTCTTGATTTCTTTTAAGTTCAATTCATTTCCTTTTTTGAAAGGAAGGCAAACTCCACTATCGAACAGCAAAAATGTAAAGGTCACGAAAAACGTGATCGACTTCTAGTTTTGAAAAGTGAATTTAGTTTTCGGATTTTCCAGCGGAAGAAAAAATTTACCTATTGATCCAGTTTTCTCAAATCTTATCATTAAGTGTCAATCATATAATGTTTTTGAAATTCAAAATGCCTTTAGGCATATATTCTTTTTTTTGAAATTTGATTATTGAAGTTTTTTTAATAGAACTATTCAGTATTTTTTCTGTTTCCTTGCGTTCCAACTGTCTGGCTATGTCTTGAAGTCCAGTTTGATAAAGTAAAGTCCATTTTGGTAGCACTTTGTTGCAAAGTTTAAACATGTTAATTGCATGTGTTCTCAGCTTTATAAGTGGCTAATGTTTCGGTTCTTTGACTTCCGGTAGCCTTAGCTGAGTAGGGCCAGTCGACGTGTGTGCTCGTGGATAGTGTATTTTCATTTTCTTTCCTTTTTTCTTTTTTCCCCTATTAAAGCTACTGCTTAGTGTTTTGTCGCTTGTCTTGGTAACTGCAGCTTTGGCCCTGTGTTAATGATATGCGTTGGCTAGCACAGTTTATGTCTTTTTTGCCTATGATGGCTGTTTCTAAAAAAACGAATGGAATTATTTCACTTCAAACCCATTTATATAAAATTGAAGATTGGTGCAGTGAAAATAAGTTTTTTTATCTATTACGCAAAGTTTTTCATCAATTTGGCGAACAAAAATGTTTCTTTTTTGAAAATATCTCGTTTTTAAAATTGGTTCCAGGGAAGATTCTGATCATCACCTAACCTAGACTATTTCTGTTCAAAATTGGCCCGTTTTAGTTGTACTTTTACCGTCGACGTTTTTCATTTTCAAAACATTATAATATTTGAAATTCTTTAATAATGCGAAGCCACGTTAATCATTTTGCATACGGCTTGACTTCAAAAACAAGCTGTAATAGGATAGATATGTTCGTTAAAGCGATCTCAAAGCTACATTTGACGAAATTTCGGCAAAAAATGGGATAGCTAAAGCGATCACATAAATCACGGCGTTTAAGAGCTCGTATCATAATCAGTTTGCTTGTTTGCTTGTCTTTGGAGTCAACAAGGTCTTCAATGGCCTTCAAACTTGATTTCAAGTTTTTGTGCATATCAAAAAAAGGTTTATATAACTGATGTGCTCGAGTTTGCATGATTTGTTTCAAGACTTCATTGATTTTAAATTTTTCAGGTCGAAAAGCTGACGTTTTAAACTTCATTGCTGTTTTAGCTCCGCAAGGTACCTTCCTTAACTTTTGATGAGTTTGCTTTAAACTTGAGTTCCAATTGGCTTGCTTAAAAAATGTATCGAAGATCTGTTAAATTAAATGGACGTTGAAAGTAAAATTTAGTCCTTCAATCTGAGTAATAACTGCTGTCTTTTTGTATTTGTTTTCTCATTTTATTTTTTCAAAAGTCGGAAATTTACAAAATGCTGATTTAAATGATTTTCGAAATGAATTTTTAGTTGTCCCCTTTTAGCCGATATGCGCTATGTGTACATGCGATCAGTGAACCCTACTTCGCCTGATGTGACCTTGTCTGACCTGCACAAGTACATCAGACAGCCGAGACAGAAATTGAGTAAGAGTGCAGTGATGTCACAGGCAGTTGATCATCTCGAAGAGTCGAGCTACATGCAGGATAGTTTCTTCGTGGCCGACGATGAAGAGATTGTCTATTCGGAATCAGAAGAAGATGAAGACGAGGAAGAGAGTGCAGAAAGCTGTGAATCAGTAGAGGTAGGAAAAGTTTCTCCGCTACTCTGGAAACTCTAGATAGAAGCGAAATGAATGCATGTGTATTGATCAGAGACACAGCTGCGGTGCTCTGTAGACAGCTTAGTAGCTCGTATGATCGTTATTTTTTTCGTGATAAAAACTCTCAAACTATTGTGAAATTGGTGCAAGCATAATATTTGCTTCTTTGAAAAAGGCGTGTTTTTATTGCCGAGCATCGAATCCCCATAATAACCAGTAAAGATCCTTTACCCCAGTATTTGATTTGGACTGAAGTTGCCTTGAACTGAGTATAAATTACTCAATTCTGACAGGCCGAAATGCTAACTTAGACCCAGTTATTTTTAGCCCCCAAAGTTTTTAAGAGTGTTGATTGTTAACCTAATCTCAAGTCAAAACTGTGTTTTCTGAGCACTTCAAGGAATTGTGAAAAAAAAACATGATAATTTCATCCATTGTGTAATCTTATCTACTCTTAGATAACGAGCCGTTTGATGCCTCGGCAGAAGTTCAACTCCAGAGAAGAAACAGAGATAGAATCAGAAGTTGAGAACTCGCCTGTCTCAATTAATCAGAAATTTCGTGTCGCTCGAAAGCGCAAAAGCTCCGCGAGTCCAGTGGTAAGAAAACCAATGCACAGAAAGAAACACAGAAGAGTTGTTATAGCTTCTGATCGTGAATCAAGTAGCTCTGAATGAGAATAGGTTTTTAATGTTTGATTATTTGCAGTATTTGTGTTGGATTGTCACTCTGAAATAGCTTGTTAATTAAAAATCTACTTGCTTTGAAATTTTTCTGTGCCTCATTTAAGGGTAATAAAATAACCAAGAATTTAAGAAAGCGTTGCAAGAAAAAGCTTTTGTGGTATGTTGTTTTTGGACTATTCTGCTAAAACGTTCTTCAATTCTTGAGTTTACACTTGTTTTAACCTGATTAATAAGAGTCAATGAATGTAGTTCAGAGTCTTATATAGGTCGCTATGATTTTTTTTTGTTTTTTTTCTCCAGGAAGTCTTACAATTTGTTGCAACTTCGCGGTTTGATAGTTGATTTCTTTTTAAGATCAGCTCATTTTATTTGTTAATTTATCAAAAAAGTGACAATCATAAAATGTTCTAGAAATTCAAAGAGGCCATCTATTTTGCTTTTGGAAATTCAAACGTTGAGATTTTTCAATGTCAAGTCAGTATTTTGTTTTATTTACTTATTTTCCTTAACTCTTTTCCAACTGTTAGATGTGTTTTAGGTGCCCTATAGGTGCACTCTTTTCCAACTGTTAGATGCGTCAGTTAGATGTGTTTTAGGTGCCCTTTTGCCTAATTTTGAATCATTTTAAAAATTTATGACTACAAAAGAAAGTATGAAAGTTCTTAATTTGTACTAGCTCAATTAGCATTGTTTTTTTTGTTGGAGCAATGTGTCATCTTGGATTTTTCCCGTTTCTGTACGAGAATCTCAGCTTTGCTGCAGCTTCCTCTGAATCATGCTCAATTTGAGGTATTGATGATGTCTTTTGCGTTTTTTTTTCCAGGAAAAATTCTTAAATTTTGTTCAAGCTCAAGTTTACTATTTCGCGGTTTGAATTTTGAGTTCCTTTAAAGTTCAGTTCATTTCATTTGTTTAAAGGAAGGTAAATTCGAAAATGGAGTTAATTATCAGATTTCCCGACGAAATGAAAATTTTAGCTATTAATCCAATTTTGTCAAGCTCGGTTGATTTTATCGAAAAACTGTCAATCTTAAATTCAAAGAGCTCGAAGGACATCTATTTTTTTTTCTGAAAATTCAAACGTTGAATTTTATAATTTTTTGATTCACTTGCGTTCATTGACTCTTTTCCGACTTTCTGTTGGCTTTTTTTCAGGTACATTGTTGCCTTATTTTTGAATCCTCTTTAAAACTTCTCGCCACAAAAGAAAACGACTGAAAATATGCAAAACATCAAACTAACTAATTTTATTAAAAATAATAATTTATGCTAACTTGCTAAGCATTATTTTCTAGTTGGAATATTCTGTGGTTCTTGCAACTGATTTTTTAAAGTATATAAAAGCGAGAGTGCATAATAACTACGGAAGTGCATTCATATATTTAATTGTATTTATGAATGCAGTTACGTATTTATGCTTTTTTTGAGTTCAATTCAAGTTCATCAGCTAAAGTTTTGGTAAGTTGCGCTCCAATTTCGAAAGCGGAAACGGCGCGAAAAACAACGACCTCTAGTTTCGAAAGATGACTTAAATTTTTTGATTTCCGAAAGGAATAGGAAATTTGCCTATTGATCCAGTTTTTACACTAGCATACTTAAGTGAGCATTAGTGTTAAGCTACGACTATTCTTTTTTTAAACCTAATTCGCTTATATTGGTGCCAGTTTCGGGGCAACTTTACGGCTTTTTGATTGCATTTGCTTTGACATTCGCAAATTAAAAAAGTTAACACAGTTGATACATTTTAAATTCATCAATTGAACCGAAAAAAAACTATTTGTCTCAAACAAATATCAATCATAAAAACTCGATCTCAGAAATTTTCTAACTCCAAGTTTCGCAATTTTTTGAAATGCTTAATTTATATATAATATGGCTTTATGCTTTCAATTAATTAGATGCAAAATTAGTGGCAAAACTATTAATTGCGAAATTGTGTCTATTTGCATTTGGTGCCACATTTGCTGCATAGCATTGGGATTTCGATAGAATTTGTAGCTGCCTTTTTTGTGACTAGTGTTTGCCGGTTGTTAAACGTTTGTGGCCCAGAGGGCAGGGTTGAGACTCCAACTCTCGGGGCCGCTGGCTCGAAGCCCATAGTTATCGAAGTTTTACCAACTCGAGGCTTATTTCTATCCTTTCTTATTTCACTTTATATAGATAGTTTTTTTGTGTTTTCATTGCGAAACCCAGCTTGACCTCTGTGTCTAATTTTTGATTAATTTTAAAAATATAAATCTCAGTTTGACAAATTTAAAGCAATTTTTTTTCGATTTCTTTGTTGTTTTACACTTTTCCAACCTTCTGTTGGCTATGTTTGATTCAAAAACGCAGCAATTGAGTGTGATATCAACCCAAAATCAGGTGAACCAACAAAATTTCTGGTGGAATTGAGTTGTGTCATATTGATACCATTACGGCCGTGAGAAAACAAAGATGAAATTTCGTAATAATACTTCTGTGTAGAGAAAATTCGGTTATAAGTTTTTGCTTTCGGTTACTTTTTGTGAAGTGAATGAAACTTGAATTTTAAAACACGTTTTTGTCGATGTGGGTTGACTCAAGACAAAAAAGATGACGACAAAACTGTCTTGGATTTTAAGCAGAATTTGATCAGGCAATTTGTTGTGCAATTTTTTGAATTTCGGGCCCAAAGTTTTGAAAACAGTTGACCTTGTACAGAATATAATATTAACCCAACTCAATCTGGAACAATAAGCATGACATTAATTAACAATCTCACGGTATTTTAATATGATTGACACGTCTATCACAGCACTTGAAATGAATATGGTATAAATTGATTAACCGTAATAAGCACCTGCACAATTCCTTTAACACGTGTGTAACGCGTTAATGAATGAGCAGCACAAGCACAATGGAATTGAATATGTTATCACCAATGAAAACTGAATACTTCCGTGAAGATGGCTCAAAATGAATATGTTATCACACTTTACACTCAAAAACACACATAGTGAGTTATAACCGAGGTGGTTAACTCATAGAGTAATTTCGGATAGGGTACACCGTCTGCTCGTCACGCTAACTTATTTTCGGCCGGATAGATTCGTGCAACTTCTTAGTCTAATACCGATCCTAATCTTACTCTTATACTATCTAGTCTCAGGGTGTTTAACTAGTCTCTGCTAGGCTCAATAGATCTAGGGTATACTGGTTTCTTGCGGTTGCTGAAGTCTTCTTGGAGAGTCAACTAATTTCTAAGTTAAATTCAAATCTCTCTGGTGCTGAAATTACAAGTAATTCCAGCACTTACAAATAAGTGGGTTGTTAGTTAGATGGATCATGATTGGTTAATATTAAATACTTTACAGTGGTAAAATATCTAATTTATCCAATCATAAAATGTAGTTTAGATCAGGTTCCAATAGACAATGCACAATAACAATTTATATGTACTGGACTCAATTTTAACAGAATTAAAGGCAGAACACGTTTCTTTCACTCTTTCTCTTGCAGTTTCGCATTTCCAACGAACAGATCAATATTCTCCCGATAAAACAAAGGCAGTTTATTGTTTTGTAGTCACTCTAGCAAGGTTTCGGCCAGTTTCTTCGATGACTTTGTCAGACAGTCGGCTAGTTGATATCTTGTAGGAACCCAGACAAACTTAGTTACTCTTCTTGCGACAAAATTTCTCAGGTAGCCCAGTTCGACCCGTAAACGTTTGTCAACGATATTTTTAGTTGAATAGATCGAATCCACCAGGGATTTGTTGTCTACGATAGAGGTTATCCTCAAACTGTAGCCACATATGTCCCCGATTATTCTTTGGACAAGAAGGCAGAATCCAGTGCATCAGCACTGGCGATCATTTCAGCGGCAAGCGTACTGCGAACTACGCGCTTCAGTCTATAGGACTTCCAATTCAATATGGACAATTTTAGGGTCTTCAGGTCAACTAATAAAACTAAAAACCCGGCTTATGTGCCCCCGTCGGCCAAGTTGTTCAATGAGGCATCGGAACAGGACAAAATCACGCCATTTTCGGTTATTTTGAAATCTGGGAAAACCAGTCTCGAGACAGTAGTATGATCCAGGCGTCTAACAACCTTATTGGACATTCTCAGTTCTGTTTTTGACGCAGTTTTCACGTAGTTTTACAGATAGATTACGTCAAAATTGATATCTGGTCGACTTTGGGTGGCAACCCAGAGTAGTTTTCCCAGTATTTCTTGCAAATGTGCAGCTTCTTCGCCAACTTTAACCGCAGATAAGTCCACTTCTTCGACTTTTGACACATAGTGACCCTGGTCAACGATCAAACTCCCGTTTTCACCTCTAGCTAGTTCCAGGCCTAGATACCTGAAGGATAATTCAGCCTCAGCACGAACTGAAAACTCAGTTTTGAGTGGTGTTAGTTATCACAGAGGACACAAAACTGTCATTCCCCACGTAACAGATATCAGCCACATGAATAACCAGAGCCCCAGAAACTCCAGAATTGTCTCTCTGGATGAACAAACACGAATCAAACTTTGATTTCACGCAGTTTCTTTGTTCGAGAAAATCACGTAGGTGGAGATACCACATTCTTGGGGCATCAACAAGTCCATAGAATGATTTTTTGATGTTTCCAAGCGAAGCCCTCTCGTCGGAGCTCTTTCGGTGGCTGAAGAATCACACTTCTTGTGTGTGCCTGTAAAAACGCACTTGTTACGTCTAGGCTCCTGAAAATCCACTTCCTCATTGTATTGGCGACCGCAAGATAAGCTCTGAACGTATCTCTGCAAGTAGGAGAGGAGAGTACATGACCAAGTTTGACCTTTCAGCGTCTTCGAAGCCTCGCGCCACGAGTCTGGCTTTAACTTTCCCGTCATTTTTCTCGGAATAAACCCATCGAGATGAAACTTTTCGTTGGCCAATGTCTTGTATTTATTCAAAAACGTCCCAGAATCACAGTTTTTCGTAATCTTCAGTCTTGGCTTTCTCAAGAACATCCTCAGTGGCTGTCATGAACACCGTGTTGGTCTCGACGGTGTCCCAGTTTACTTTGCTGAAGTCTATCGACTCCTGTTTACGAGTGAGGTTGGATATTCTACGTTGAACCAGAAGTTGTGCCGTCCACTAGCCTTGCCAGATCTGCCAAGAATGACACATTCACGTTCTTCTGGTGCATTTTCACCTATTTTAACCACATCTCCACGCTTCGGACACCGTTCCGTGTTGGACTGCGGAACGAGAGGGGCAAAATCTGTGGATATCTCTACTTCTGACTTCTGTGGTTGGTGATCAGTATTCTCGGGGAAAAAATCCTCGTCACTATCAGCTTCTCCGTCGCTTTCATTGGACAAATCTTTGTCCACTTCATCGTGTTTGGTGTTTGTCGCATCCGAGATAGTGGAAGCTGTGTCTCTCAAGAAATTTACGACATCGTCGCCATAAAACATAGGACAGTGAATGCTTCTGACCTTGGTCAAATGTACGCTTATACTGTTTCCTCCGTGCTTCATGAAAACTTGCTGACCGTTTATTCCCTGTACTGTAGCCGGTCCTCGCCATTTTTCTTCTTATAGAACACGCTATCGCCGACACTGATAGCTTTGACTTCCCGTACTCTCTTCGTTAGAGCACGTTTGACCCGTGACGACGATTCTGCTTGTAAATACGCCTCTCTAGTTCAAAACTCCATTCGCATACACCGACGGATCTAATTTGATATAGATTTGTCTACAATTGAAACCGCATTTTCTCGTACGTTTTGGTTGAATAGAAACAGCCAAAAATGACCTGTTTTCACAATAAATTTTTGCACCAGAAGTTTTCAAAATAAATTTCTCAAAATAATTTCTGCGAAACGTTCTAAAAAGTTTTGCTTCAAAATTATTGTCTGAAGTCAAATCAACTTGAGAATAATGAGTTTTATTCGTTTTGTCCGGATAATTTAAATCAGCACTATTATAAATGGCGCTTATTCAATGTCACCAAAAATGGAGAGAATACAAGTGTTCTATGCAGGTTCAGATTTAGTATTTTGTCGAAGGGGCTGTCTAAAAACACACACTGCAAAGACTGCGCTGCAGGAAGTTTGCTATGAAGTCAGCCTAAAATGCCGTTTATGGAAGGTTTTTGGAAGGTTTTGACCTATAATCGGCATTTTTCCGTGCTCGGTCCCCTCTCAAAGTTCAAGTTTATCAGCAAAAAAAATTGTAGGTCGAATAGCCGGAAATTCATGTCGTAAAATAATACCTATGGGGACCCTTTGGGCAACGCGGCGGTCAAATCCTTTTGCTGAGAGGGGGGTGGGTCTGCCCCTGGTTTTATGAAGCATGATTTTAACTAGATTTAACAATGTCTAGAGCTCCTGGCTTTAAAAAACAAGATTTTTGGAAGCCATCTGGTTTTAAATTTCTGTGCTTATTATTGGTCATCAATTGGCTACATTTATAAAATATCTGATTTTGTGATTTTGAATGTTTGCTTTCCTTATTTTTTGTCTGGGACTTTTTTGGCCGACTACCTACACTTCTACAAGACAGATTTGTAACAACATTAGATTTCTCAAAGAATTACTTTTGCCATCAAATAGACTGCCACTTACATTTATGAAGGATTTTGTATTCAGTTTCTTACGACAAAGTACCTGAGGATTTTTTGAATTTGTTGCATCAACTGGTCTATTATACTTGTCGTTTAAAATTAAAACAATGACTTCAGGTTAGTCATGACATCTGTCCGTAGCAGGAAAGACAGAGTGCACTACGCAGTGTGTCAGAGCAAACTGTTCCAGAACTCAACCCAGTCGGTTGGGGCTGTGGGTGAACACGAAGTCAACTTCGATGACTTCTGGAAGTTCTACGTGAAATACATGGATCAACTGCACGGGAAGAAAGTATCGAGCAACCAACGCAAAGGTTTTAATTTTTAGTATTATTTCAAATCAAGTTTTGCGACATTTTGCAAAAATTGAGCGTTTGTTAATAATATTGTTGTGCACCTTATGTTGATGAGAGTTCTCCGGTTGCACTTTTATGAAGCAAAATGATCCCAATTTGTGTTCTAGTTCAAATTACTTCAGTGATATCTGAAAATGGTTTAATTTGTACTCGTGAAAAAAATACTGGCTTCCGTGCAATGTTTTTGCCAATTTTTTGTTCGGAAAACGCTTCAATGAAAACTTGAATATCTTTTTGCATATTCTTCTTTTATTCTTTAGAATTGGAATTGAAAATGGAATCAAGAGTGAACGCAATTCGCAATGACTACCTATCACAGTCGCAAACTGAGATCATCAGGAACGCAGCTCCGGATGAAGGTCGCCATCTCACTAACGCATTAGTTCTCTACTTTGACTTCGCCCAGAAGAGGGAAACTCAAAGGATTGAGAAGGTTGAGAGTGCGAAGAAACAGCTGCCGATTTACAAGTTCAGAGACCAGGTGCTGGAAACAATCAGAAATAATCAGGTTGGTTTACCTTAAGTAGTTTTTTTTCTGCCGAAAAGTCGTAGATCGTTTCTGATATTTGAGATTTGCTCTTCTGTATGTACAGTGACGGGGTAATTTTTTGAAATTTTGAGACCAGTCATTAGTGCCATTTATTTCTTATAACGACATTATGTTTTAGATTTTTCTGTGCGCTAAAGGCAAAAGGAGCGAACAAGCCCGAACAAATATCGTGATTTTATTTTGATTAGTTTTCAGGTTTCGATCGTGGCAGGCGACACTGGCTGTGGAAAGAGCACCCAATTGCCTCAGTACTTGATGGAAGCAGGGTACACGAAGATAGCCTGCACTCAGCCGAGAAGAATAGCTTGTGTGTCGTTGGCCAAACGAGTCGCCTATGAGACGTTTAATAATTATGGGGAGGATGTCGGATACCAGATACGATTCGAGACATGCAAGAATGCTCACACACGGATTCTGTTTCTGACGGAGGGGGTTCTGCTCAGACAGATTCAGGTCAGTTGAGCAATTATTTTGTTTATCGATTATCGTTGTCAGGATTAGCTTAGAAGTGGCTATATATTTTTCAAAAAATGAAATTTTCCATTTTTTCACAATTTTCAAAAAAAAACTATCATATAAAATTTATCAGTTAATTGTTCTAAGGAAAATGTTGTTAGTCGTTGAAATGAAGAGTCAACTTTAATTGAGTAAGTTTGCTTTTACCCTTTCTTGCTATGCCCACAAAAACATAAATAAGCTATTTGAAAAAAATTTCTGTAAATATATTTCAAGTTTGTGCTGTATTAATAATTCATTAGTTCTGAACTGTATATTGGATGTTTTCGCTGTAACATACTGTTGTTTTGAATTAAAGGGATCCCCTGACCTTGACCTGTACAATGTGGTAGTACTTGATGAAGTGCACGAGAGACATCTCACCACCGATTTTCTTCTCGGCATCCTGAAGAGTCTGTTGAAAGTGAGGAGGGAGATGAAACTGGTCCTCATGTCTGCCACAATCAACATCCACATGTTCGCCGAGTACTTTGACAATGCGCCTATTGTACAAGTTCCAGGTAGATAATTTTGAAGTTATAACGAAGGTATTTATAGGGTGGTTATTTAAATAGGGATTAGCAAGCGTTATCAAATCGGTATATAGACTTTTTTCGGGCTAACAACTTGTTTAACAGAATCATTTGAATCACGTGGAATCTTGGTTCATAATGAATTCAATTTTCTAAGCGTCAACGACACACTTAGTCTGGAGATCACGAATACGCCTAGGGCGGCAAAGGTCCTGAGGTCAAATTTGCCCAATACCTGTTCTTTTTTCAAACGGGAATTATTCCGTTTCGAAAAAAATTGTCGGCTTATTTTTTGTCTGCTTATGTTTTGTCAGCTTAGTTGCCATATTTCAGAATTTTTTTTGCTGTATGCAGTTTTCATTGTAGTTGCTATTGGTTGCTTTTTTCTTCTACTCCTTCAATTTTTAATTCTACTAGCCATGAATTCGAATGTTTTGCTTATGCTTTGTATGCTTTCCTCCGGATCGCCAAAAAAGTTTAAAAATCTTAGAATAGAATTTATAGTTCAAAGTTTTTCATGACAACAATTTTATTTTTGCTCGATAATTTTATTTTGAATTTTCATTAAACGCCGTCTAATGTGTTTCTGGGCGTGTTCTCCGAAAATAGAACATTATTCCTGGCAATTTTTTGAATTTTGTTAGTTATGGTTTCTTCGAAAATGTTTCCATTTTCTTTGGATTTCGTGGCTCTTCTTTCTTTTCCTGTCTGCTAGCTTGCAATGCTATTTTTGTGCTATCGCAAGTGATGCGATGCTCCGCTTCGACTGTGTTAGAAAAATGTTTTACTGAGTCAAAGAATTTGGCTAAAGCGCTAATTGTAAAATTTTCTGGCAGGTTGTCTTATAAAAATAATAATAAAGGTGTTAATAAGGTATCAATACCGATAATATAAGTGACTTGAACTTGATTTTCTTAGGAAATTCTAAAAGGGAATTGTTTATTGCGACAAAAGTGTCGGCTAAGGGGTTTTAGCTGGTGAATATATTTCTGCTATTAAGGTTCGACGGTGACTTAGTTCAATTATGAAATATCGATCTAAATTAAATTTGCTTGAAAAAATGACAAAAATTTAAGTTACTAAACCCGTATTGCAAAATAACTTGGTTATGTAAACGCTGATTTGGTACACGCAAAAGTGAGATTAATTACCAGGACATGAATTTTCTGGACGTCCGAAAGGTGTTACTATTATTCAATTATTTTTTAATTCAGGTAGATTGTATCCGATCGAGCTGAAATACCAGCCTGTTCAGACCGAAGAGGCAGTGTATTCAAAAAGCCACGAGCGAGCCAAGATAGTATCTAGTAGCTCAATGGAGGATAGATACAACCCAGAAGCAGCTTCGTCTGAAAGGGACCGGAAACATGGAGGGAAAGGGAAGCAGAGGAATAAACATGGAGCTGATGTTGATGTTCAGCCGTTCATTCAAGTTCGAAGTTTTTAAATAATTTTGAAGATGATGCTGTTGATTAAGATATACACCAGGATCGCGGGTTCGAATCCCACTTCGGTCCCAATTCACCGCCTCCTCGTGATCAAGGTTCGGCAAATTAGATGACAATCCCGTCTTCCAGGATGTACCTGCAGTTGGGAGGGCCGGGGGCTAATAAAAAATAAGTTATACATACGGAAACCACGAGGAAGAACATCCAATTTTCGAGCTGTTTAGCTTGTCATGGCCAACCGCTGTTGTGTCCTCATTAATTATATGCAGTATTCGGTTTAGTTTTGAGCTGGAAAATATTGCCTCGCTCCCACAAGCAACAAACTAGAACGAGACAGAGTTAATTCAGAAGAGCTATACCGATTTCAGAAATTTGTCTTTCAAGGTTGCCTACAGTTTTGAATTTGCATGCGGAAAAAGTTACAAAGTGACAGACTGCTCTTTTTAATTTTGTCTCAGCAATTTTTGCAACTTAGTATAGAGAGTTGTAGAGAGTTCATTCTGACAAAATAATTAAAAAGGGGCAAATTTTCCTATTTGAAAGAGTTTTGCATGAAATTTCGCTGTTTCAAACCACCCTGAGACATGTTTTTTCTGAAACTTTGCTTTTACATGCAAAATTTTCCAAAATAGATCAATCGCTCTTTTTAGTTATTTTTGCCGTTCCAATTTTTTGCATCTCTCTCTATATAGGTGGGTTATTCAGGTGCTGCAGATGATTGACAGACGCTACCCTGAAGCCGAGAGAGGGGACTGTCTGGTGTTTCTGTCTGGCATCAATGAGATCATGGCAGTGTACGAGGCAGTGCAGAACTATGCCTCTGAGAGCAAGAAGTGGGTCGCTCTTCCTCTCCACAGTTCACTCAGTATCGAACAGCAGGATGCAGTGTTCAATGTGCCACCAGAGGGAGTCAGGTTGGGTTGTTTTCCATTTTCAAATTCCAACAAAAGCTTTAATTTTTCACAAAATTGTTTATTTTTGAAGTACGAATTGTTCTTTCCAATTTTTTTTTCGATGTTTTTTCATTTGAGAGTGATTAATTTTTTTTCGCACTCAAGTGTTTCATTTCAGTTAACCTCTTTCAAGTTTTACTCTGATCTTTTCTAGTTAATTTTAGTTATGAAATCAGATATGTTTTATCTTGATCACTAAATGGTAGGTACCAAAAATAGACTTCAGGTATGATCTATCAAAGCATAGCTTTAAAATCCTCTCAGTCACTATTCAAATAGCTGGAATTGAAAAGTTATTCAATGATTTTGCTTAAAAATAAACTACTTTCCGATTTAGTTTGATGATATGACCCAGTGATTTGTTTTACTATTTACTACATTCAGTGACTTATTGAGAGTGCACGTATAGTATATCATTTTTATAGTAAGTGCAAATTTGTTGGGGCAATATCGTATTCGGGCAACGAATCTAAATTGTTTAATTAGCCTAAAACTGCTGATTTTTAAGTCTGAAACCTATTTTTCTCTCTTTTCCGCACGTCACCGATTAAGTTGCGCAAGGTTACCGATATTTCCAACAATTTGGGAATGTGACTCGATTCAGCCCTCGCTTATTTCGCCCCTCCTAAATTTAAGGGCACATTTCGTCCCAATTTCATTCAGGCATTTTGTGTGTGAGATATAGGCTAAGTGTGTGTAGACGTTAATTTGGCCTTAACTAAACAACACAGACGGTGTATTTAGAAAGTGTGTTTTGTCGACGAACATAGCGGAGACGTCTGTGACTATAGATGGGATCCGCTTCGTCATAGACTCTGGCAAGATGAAGGAGATCAGTTATGACACCACCATGAAGATGCAGAGACTTCAGGAGTTCTGGGTCAGCAAGGCCAGTGCTGAGCAGAGAAAAGGTGCCAAATTTAATCAATTATCATAGACGAACATCATTAAACCTAAAACAGTCTTAAAACAGCATTAATATGGCAATTTTGTTCATATTTTACTGTGAAATTTTTTGAATGAAAACTAATTAAAAAATATATATTTTTTCCGGATTCATGGGTTTCGTTCTAATTTTTGTCTGCTCAGTTTTTGTTCGTCTTAGCAAATTGCAGACTTTTTTGCGCTTGGTCTTGAGGTAATAGAAATCCTTATTTTCTAGACAAAATCAAAACCAAAGTAGTTTTTGGTAGATCTTTTTTTCGATATTTTTTCAAAAAGTTTTTCAAAAATGTTTTTCTTCGGCTTTCATCGCGGTTTCTTGTTTATCAGTTGGTCATTCTAGGTATGTGTTTTGTGTAAGTGATATGAAGCTTCCTTTCGCCTCTGTGTAATAAGTTTGATCTTCAATTCCGGGATATAAAAGTACAGACCTGAAAAGTATAAAGACTTTTACAACCGCGACTTGAGACAGACGCGGAAGAATAATAAAACAGATGCTGTGTGCTCTCTTTGCTATTATCACGATCTGTAGCATTGCAAATTTCATAGCATCTGTTCTCTGTTTTATTTGCGGCTACTGCTTGTGACTAGTTAAGTGGCTGTGACTGAGTGGTTAGTGCGTTTGACTCGTCATCTGTAGGTCACAGGATCGAACCCGACACCTAGCCAATTTTTTTTACAAACTAATTTGAGGCTTGTTTCTCAATTTTCTTAAGCAGTTAGCCCTTCAATAAGTAATAAGCAGTTAGCCCTTCAAGTGGCATTTCGTAAGCAATCAAATTCATTTAGGCAACGATTTTTTTTACTTTTTGTTTTCAAATTAAAAAAAAAAGAGTTAAATCCTACCTCACCACCTAAAATACCCAGTTACCAGAAAAAAAAACATTTATTTACTATTCATTATCGCATAATTAAAGATGCATTAACAATTGCAGGTAACTCGATAGCTCTGATTCCTCTTTAGAAATATACTTTTGTCCATTTGACAATTTTATTAAACAGTAGTCTAACTCTAGTTTCAAACATCCTTTTGACAATTCTATTTCATCAGCGCGTTGCTAGTAGTTTTTTCTGTTGTTTTATTCGAATAGCGTTTCCATAATTTCTCTGTTTTGCGATGATTTGAATATTTATACCTGGCAATGTTTTTTACACTATCGAGCTTCGAGCGTAGTGTATTAGTTTGAACCTTTTTTTTCTAACCTAACTTGCAAAAAAATGTGCATTAAAAGTGTTCACTTTGCTATAATCACGATCTGTAGCATTGGAAATTTCATAGCATCTGTTCTCTGTTTTGTTTGCAGCTACTGTTTTTGACTAGTTAAGTGGCTGTGACTGTGTGATTAGTGCGTTTGACTCGTAATCTGTAGGTCACAGGATCGAACCCGACACCTAGCCGATTTCTTACTAATTTGAGGCTTTTTTCTCAATTTTCTTAAACAGTTAGCCCTACAATAAGTAATAAGCAGTTAGCCCTTCAAGTGGCATTTCGTAAGCAATCAAATTCATTTAGGCAACGCTTAGTTTTTTCTTCTTTTTTTTTCAAATAAAAAAAAACAGTTAAATCCTACCTAACCACCTAAAATACCCAGTTACGAAAAAAAAAAACATTTTTTTACTATTCATTATTTGTGGTGTTCGACTCAGTGTACGGCATCTCAAGTATTGTGCGTCCTCTGAAATATCGGCGCGTCTTCCTTAAAGATAATAAAAGCTTATTTTAGGCTTATGGTTGTGTTTCTTGACTGTTTTTTTTGTAAATTGATTTTTTCGTTTTTTCAGAAAAAGAAAGAATTGCAGTTTTTATAGATTATTTTTTTCATCATGGTTTTTGTCTCATTTTCGATTCGATAGCTTGCAATTTTACGCTTGTCGTATCACAAGTGGTGCTGAGCTATGCTTCGCCTCTGTGTTAACAAATATAGGATTGTGCGGTCAAAAAGGGAATTCGCTTTGGGAAAGATGATGATGATGATGATGAGTTTTTTATGATGATGTTGACTAACCTCAAATGGGTAACCGTATTGGCTATCTGAACGGGATTATGTTCCCACTGAGTCTCACTGATAGTTTGAACGTAGATGAAGGACGATTTATATAGAGAAAAAGGATCAACTTATGCGATTGGCAACATTTTGCTGCAGTGAACCGCTGTTAGGCCCCTAGTTAAGAATTCGTGTCATTTTGTTGATAGATTTTTGGGTTTCGGGAAATCCTGGTCGATATTTTTTTCTACTCTTTTAACCTACAGCTACAGTCTATTTTGCTGTTTTTCTGATTCGTGAAGGGATCGTGCGTTTGTTTCAAGGTCGAGCTGGCAGAACTGGTCCAGGTCTTTGCATCCGACTTTACTCCGAGAAAGACTTCGATTCGTTCCAACCCTACTCCACCCCGGAGTTGCAGCGTGTCTCTCTGGACGCTGTGGTGCTCCAGATGGCGTCCATGGGACTGCAAGATCCGAGGAAGTTTCCGTTTCTGGAAGCCCCCGCTGAGAGTGCAATAGTGTCGGCGGTTACGTTGTTAGAGGAGCATGGCGCTCTTGATAGACAAGTAAGTTTTGACAGAGGTTCAGATATACTTCTTAAAAATCACGAAAATTGTGTTAGCTGATTTAACTTTGATCCATGCTTAACCGATGAATCAATCAGTTTTTGCTGCTAATCAACTGTTTTATTTGGAAGTTCAAGTGATCTGTTCAATTAGTTCTGTTCGTCCGAGTTGTCGATTTCCTCAATGTTTTTGCGAATCGTTAAACATGCGATCAGCATGTTTATTTTTTGCGAGTTGATTTTTTATTGCGAGTTGTATTATGGGATACCATGCTGTTAAAAGCTAATAATGGAGCCCATGTCATTGTGTTTGGTGCAGGTGAAGGGTCTCATCACTCCTCTGGGTGGTCTGTTGTCCCATCTGCCAGTGGACATAACAATTGGCAAACTCATGCTCATGGCCTCCCTATTCCATACTGTGGATGCTGTGCTGAATGTGGCCGCAGGACTCAGCACCCTCTCAGTCTTCACACACAAGTCATTCAGAAGTGCAGAAGCAAAGGGTGAGGGGGACTTTTGTATTTTGATCAAGAATAGACGGTCTTGTGAAATTAGCACATCGTGTTCCGACCACAATTCAAAAAAAAAGAAAGAAGCTCGAAAAAAAAATCGAATGTTTTTTTTTTCATATAGAATGGGCCTGCAGCTGATAAAATTGCAAATAATAGTACGAAGCGTCTTCAGGCATAATCGTTAGCTTTTTATATGGAACTTCTTGTTACGCTTGCGAGTAGCAAGCGTTATCAAATCGGAATGTAGGCTTTTTTTCGGGTTAACAACTAGTTCAATAAAATCAGTTGAGTCACTTGACATGCTCTTTACTTGACATGCTCTTCAGTTGACAAGCTCATTTTCATGAAATTTCAAATTCAACTACTGGGTGGATACTAATTAATACAGAATAGTTTCAGGAGGACTTGGTACTTTTTAAAGTTTTTATACAAAATCAGTTTTTTTTCGGCTCAACTGGTGTTTACTCAAAGATAGTCTGCCTTGTTTCCGCTTCTTAAGTTTTGCTCAGTTTATAATTTGAAGTTAAAGTGTCTTGTTTGGCATGTTTGCCTAGATTTTCTGAATGATAAAAATAGGTTTTATGAAAATGTATGAGATAGGGTTTTTTATTTTACTTTTTTAAGACGTTTTGCAAAATTTTTATCACTTTCTTCCAAAAATTTAGTTTTTTTTCTCTGAAACCCTTCTACCGATTTAAAAAAAGCGGTATCCATAGAAAGACCGCCTGCACCCTTGTGTGCTTGCATACTCCTCTGGTCTCTTTTTGCTTTACCCCTTTGTCTACAGCCTTTGAAAAAGTATGGGGGGAATATTTGAGCGATATTTTTTTTTCGTTTTCTCAAAAACTGACCTACCAAATGTGAGATTTTAGTTTTAATGAATAGAATGGAATTGAAAGTATCCCCATAAATGTTTATGCCCAAACTTTATTTACATATAAAATAATGGGCCTCGGAATAATCAAATTTCAGATTTTTGACCGTTTTTGAATCTTTCTTAAACTTTTTTCGAAAACTAACCTCACGAACCTGAGGTTGTAGTTTCAATGGAGATAAACTACGGGTAGTGGAAGGTAGTGGAAAGCTCCCCTGCAGTAGCGGCGACTCACAATTGTTTTACACAAAAAAGTTATCGTCCTCGGAAAAGTCTTTTTTAGCGTTTTTTTCTAAGTTTTATGAATTTTACCGAAAAATAACCTGTCTTATCTGATATTGTGGGTTTAATGGAAATAACGCGTAGTGGGAAGCTCCCCTGCGTTAGTGGCCATTCATAAAGTTTCTACATGATAAGTTATTGCCCTCGGAAAAGTCAAAGTTCTGATTTTTTGACCGTTTTTTGAAACATTGACTTTTCTCGAGAATTACCCTGCCAAGCCTAGGTACAAAAGTGTAGAAAAAAGGTAAAAAAAACTATGATTTTCGGTACAAAAAGCTAAGTACTCAAAAGAGTCAATTTTCTCATTTGTAGACCGTTTTTTGGACTTCTCTTGATAACTATCCTGCCAAATCTGATATCATAGGTTTAATCGACGCAACAGGCTGTTGGAAACTTACATTGTTCATTCGCTACGCCCAGTGTTTCGCAGAAAAAACAGTTATGGGCTTTAAACGAATGAACGTTTAGCGTAGTTTGATATAACGATGCAACTTTTTTCTAACCTAAATCGCAAAAATAAGTTCTACTTTTGATGGCGCTTTTGAATCGGTAGGCTCCATAGGCAATTTAATCCCAAATTATTTGACATTTGATTCGTAACAAGCTAACACAGTTGATCGTTTTTTAAATATATCAATCGAAGCGAAAAAAGCTATTTGTTTCATACAACAGTATATTAATTATAATCTCGTTTCAGAAATTTTTCATCTCGAATTACTTCGAGATTTTTGAAAAGCATAATTTTTACACAATTTGGTTTAGCACATTCTTATTTATCACCTGCAGAGTTAGTGTGGTTGCCTTAAGTTTATTATATTTCAAGTTATTACATGCAAAATTTAAGTTTTTTGGCATTTAAAACTTCTGAATTTTTGCCGCTCTCTTGCTAGTGTTTGCGAAGCTGCCGCTTCGCCTCTTTGTAATTAATACAATTCTGTTTTGCATTCAGATCAGTTCCTGCAGTTTAGCCTTCAAGTAACTCCCATGCTACGGACAACTAGAACCTGGGCTCGAATCCGGTCGGGAGCCAATTTTTGATGGAACAAAAAATTTAATAGACGTGCTTTCGATTGTCTGCGTATTTTTACCGGCTTTTTTTTTATATAACATGGGTTTTTATTCCGAGTTTCAGTAATCTATACTATAAATGAAATTGTTTTGATTTATTCATGTGATTTGTAAATCTACCCCCTATGATTTTGTGTAATTTCCTTTTTCATTCTTATTTTTTTCGCTTTGAAGATTTCTTTGATTAAAATAGTTTCGGCTATCTTGATATCGGTTTAGTTTCTTCGTAGTACGGGCGCAAATATTTTTTATATACGTTTGCGCTTCGTAGGAACTTGAAGTTTCAAAATTTTGTTGCTCAATTTTTTATTCCATTTTTTCGGCTCAACGGTCGTTCATTCAAGAATTGTCTGCTTCATAACCGCTTGATAATTTGTTATTACTGACCTAACAGTGACATTTGGGTTTCTCGACATAATCCTCAAATTGAACTATCAAATTGAAATTTGTATAAAAGTATAATTTTTCTTCCATTTTTCAGTGGCGTTTGTCTTATCTTCCGCTCTTTTTTTAGGTGTTAATGAACGTTGTGAAGACATTTTTATGGATAGTACACATCTTTTTGTTCAGGGAAAATTTTTCATAGCTATTCACGCCTAAATTTAAGTTTTTGCCGTTTGATTGTTTGCAGGCTACTGGTTCGATAAACGTCAATGATTTTAGTTTCGACAGTGGATTTCAACTTTCGGATTTTCTAGCACAATGAAAAAACTTTTTTTGATCCGATTTTTATTGTTTCAGATTTGAATTAAGTGTCAATCTAGTGAGTGAGAGAGAGAGTTTAAATTCAAAAAGCTTTAACGTACTATAACTTTTCTGAAGTTGAAAAATATTTGAAATTTTTGTCTCATGATTATTGTGTAGGAACAATCTGTGCAGCTCGCACAGCGACTGGCTACTCTTGTTCTCACTACATATACAATCTTAATTATGCAGATAGTCTGTGTCAATTAACCGTTAATAAATTTTTGCTCATGTCGTTGGGCCTTGTTGTTCAGATCACTCACGGAATAGCTTAGTGTGGCTTATTGACACGGAGAGTGAATGAATTGTGGCGCCGTAGTGAAGGGTTTTAGGGGATGGAAAGTGGATGGAAAAACTAAAATATTTTTGATCGATGATTGATTTTCTTTTGCAGACTTGGTGCACCCTCTTCTTTCGAATCACGGTGATCCCTTCACACTTCTAACTGTCATCAGCGACTGGCTCGAAAGGAAACGAAAAGACGGAAACGAAGGCGCCCGCAGATGGTGTCGAAAAAGAGGGATAGAAGAGCAGAGATTGTACGAAATAAACAAACTCAAAAACCAGTTCAATGACATTTTAGCAGACGCCAAGTTTGTAGACAAAAAAGACGACAAAAATGATGACGAAAAGTCAGTCGATGAGAAGAAACACAAAGATTTGAAAGACAGAAAGCGACTGAAAGATTTGAAACGAAATTACGACAAATCGAGAAAGAAGAGAAAAGTTTTGTCAATTCAAGACAACGCATTTGAAATGCAAAGCTCGGACGAAGATGAACATTCAGCTATGGGGGCTTCAATTCGTGACCTTGAATTTCAGATTAAAAATGACCTCAATTCTCAAATAACTCCTCATTTATCTCTAAAAGATATCAATATGCTGAAGGTTATAATGTGTCACGGATTATATCCGAACTACGCTTTACCTGATTCAAATAATGGCTTCAGAAAAGCCTCGGAGCAACTTTTCAATACTAAACATAAAAAGTTTTTAAGTTTACACCCATCAAGTTCTTTGATAAATTTCCCAGAATATTTCGAACTTAAACCAGAAGAACATGAATCCAATTCAGCAATGGCTAAGAGTTCAGATCATCAATTAGTAGTGTTTTCCCACATTCTAGCGACCAAAAAGCCATTTATAGTCAACAGTTTTAGAACACCGGCGTTGCAAACTTTATTGTTGTTTGCCACTCAAATTGAAACAAATTCTGACTGCAGCTTGATTTTATTTGACGAATGGGTCGAAATTTCTGTCGATGATGGCGATGACCTTTTAGTTGACCTTTTAGCAAGTGCGGTCAAACTAAGACAATGTTGGACGGAATTGCTACAAGTTAGACTATCAGTGTTCAAAAAAACATCAGTTGATGGAGATTTAATTGCAAAACCGCGAGCTAAAGAGTTGGAGCGTCAGCTTATATCAAAATTAACGAAATTTATTCACACCTCAATTGAGTATAGAATTAAAGTTAGATCGTCCATTACAGTCGATCTTTACACACAAGAGTATGCTGATATTTCAAAGGTGCCGAATCAGTTGCAGCAGGTTTTCGGTGAAGTTAAAAGAGAAAACATTGAAGATGTTTCTTTAAAAGAATCGAATGCCGGTTTTGGAAAAGGTGGTTGCCCGATAACGCCATTTTTAATCTATGGATGTTTGTCCCAAGGAGGATCGAGTTTAGGAGGCGGGCATTTACAAACCGTTTGGACTTGTGAACTTTGTGACGTAACAATGGTAGTAACGGCGTATCAGCGCAGAAACCACAGAAATGAGTGTCGAGAAAAAATGGGGGCAGGAAAAATAGAAGACGAAGATGAATCGGACAGTACAAATGCAAAAGATGTGCAGCAGATTGAAGCTGGATATTATTGCAATGAATGCAAAACTACTTTAAACTGCTCTCTTGTAGAATTTATGCGGCACCGGAAAAGCCACCCCAAAATTGAGATAAAGCAAGAGAATTGTTGAACTAAGTATTTGAGTAATATATTTAAATCAATTTTTGTAGTTGCTAACGGTTTTCTAACATTTATCGCATTTTTCAGTAGTAATGATTATTTTTGAATTTTTCTAAAGAGGAAAATAGCAGCAGCAATTAATTTATATTATGACTAAAAAGTATGGCTTTTATCTTAGAAATAACCTGGAGACCATTTTGAGGCGGATGTAAAAAAACTGAGTTAGTTTGTTGATACGAGCAGCTTGGTATTATATTAGAAAAAATTTTCTGGTCTGAGGTCAGATTTAGTGCTCAATGCATCCATTGGTCAGTTTTGCTGTCGAGGATCGGAAAGAACAAACAGCGGCCATTCTCAAATCGAGTAATTGACAATTCCTTTCGAGCCCCTCAGTCCTACATCAAATAAATAGCCATTACCTAAAACCAAAAGAGCAGTTTCAGTGCGCTTCGTGTTTAATTAAAAACTGTTCGGAAAAGAGAAGACTTACTTTTTTCTAATTTTAGTTTTGACTGTTTTGGGCGGGTGCAAAAACTTAAGTTAAGAGTAACAATACCGTAAAGAGTTTGAAAATAACTAGTCAAATTTGCTCATAGTAGTACTGGTTGTCTTTACACAAGCAAAGCTAGTAAGTGCAGCCAATGCTAAGGATATTAACACATACTGTTATATTACAAATAGCACTTTATCTTCAAGGTATCATGGATCTGTAGCGTAGAGGTAGGGAAGGAGACCCGCAACAAATAAGAGGGTTCGAACCTGGGCAGGGTGGGATGTTTTTAATGAAGTTTTTCGTATACTAGTCAAAATGCGTCCGCTCTATAAATTGAGGCATGTTCATTTCAGTGAATTTCATTTTTTCAAATCGACTGTTACTGCTAATGTTTGAAAATTGGCTTGCGTCACTTAAGAAAATTTGTTGACTCAAAGTTTTACTCATTCAGTTTTTCCCAGTAGCGTTATCGGTTATAATTCTGCTTGTGTATGCGAAGTGCACCTTTGCCTCTGTGTTTGATTGGAGTCTGGCGATATACCATATATAACCACACGTCACAACCAACGATTATGGTAAATGTTTTTGAATGGGGTTTGATATGACTCTTAATTGGACCCATCTGAAAAAAAAATGAATTCGATGTTTTTCGGCCATATAAGCTTACGTCGGAGCTTGAGCTGTGCATTTAGCTATTGCTTTTGCCTGAACTGTTCAGATAGCATCAAATGTGATTAAACACGCAAACGTTTGTTTTTCTATAATTTTTTTTTATCATTGCCACTATACCAACAAGTTTCTTGGTTGATTTTTGGAGATTTTTTTCTGTTTGCTATGTGCAGCTTCGCCTCTGTGTTTAAAAGTGGAATACTTGAACAGTAAGCGTTGTCATATAAATTTTTGCGTAAATTTTTAAAGTTTAAAGCGTCAAGTTAAAAGTAGTTACAAAAAAATAGCAACCGTCGGACAGTTTTTACAATAGCGATCCCGCGTAATATATTAGTTCGTTTTTTTCTTGTAATCTAACTCGCAAATAAAAGTGTTCGTTGAAAGTGGAAAGTGTTCACATATTTGGTGGCATTTGTTATAATCATGATCTAGCATTGGAATTTCTCTGCATAGCATCTGTTCTCTGCTTTATTTCGGGCTAGTGTTTGTGATGTATTAAGCGTGCGTGGCTGAGTGGTTAGTGCGTGAGACTCATAAAATTCTAGGTTGCAGGTGGTCGCTGTTGAATCCGAGACCCAGCCAAATTTTTACTAATTCGTGGCTTATTTCTACTTTTTCTTATTGCACTTTATAGAGCTGCTTTTTGTCCTGTTCTGGCTAGTGTTTGCGAAGCGAAGCTTCGCCTGTTTTATGAATTTAAATGAATTAGAATTTTTCATTGATACTACTGCTAGTTGTTTTCATATATGCTTATATGAATCGTTTCATTATCTGCGTATCTGCCACCTTCGTTAACCGATTACCAACTGTTCAGTCCCTGGATAAAATTTTATGTGCTTATAGAATTCAAGGTGAATAATTTTGAGGCTCATGAACTGTAGCTAGCAGCTGGTTGGTTTTTGGAGATTGTTTTCTGTTTTTTTTTGCAGCTCAATTCCCAGGCCAGTTACTTTGACCTTGGAACTCCTTGCTTAGGTTATTTTGGTTAACGTCAAAAGTTTACTATCTTTGAAAGTTAACATAAATTGATGTTATTAAGTTAATCAAATAATGATTTCGTTTGCAGCTATCCAGTGATGCGTTTGAATTTTATTCTCTACTCTTTTTTGTTCATTTTTTTCAATCGTGGATTGATACGAAATGTATGAATTTTACCTATAATCTGACGGACTAGTACAGATAGTTACTTGTTCTGAACGAACAAGGAACTATCTTAAATTTCAGCCCATCTAAAATTTAAAGACAACTGATTTCTAGCATGTGCGTCGATTAGCTTCCCATGTACAAGGTTGAAGTGGACTCATTTGCTTTTTTGGGAACTAAAAGCAAGTGTCTTTAATCGGGAACTAGACTTTTTTCCACGTAAACATTTTTTTTAAAATAAATTTCTAAGAAATTGGTTAGTTGCTTTATTAGTGAACCTTAGCATTTTCGAGAGCTTTTCCGATTTGGCTTTGAGAAAACACGGATGCGTTTGTACCCTGAAGTCTGGGATTGGAGTCCCGTCCTGATCTTGTTTTTTTTCAGTATGCATGACATTGAAAGTTTATTTTCCGCGAAAAATTGATTTGTCGGATTTTTTTGTCTCCTTATGCTTTTTCGGCTTAGTTGCCCTATCAGGGAATTTTTTCTGCTCTCAGCAATTTTCATTGTAGTTGCTCGCTTTATCATCAAGTGTTTTTCGCTTACTCCTGTCATATGTAAAATTAATCCTCCTTCGTATATTTTCCTTCTTTTTCTTAATTTTTTTTTTCGATTTTAAGTGATTTCTGTTTATTTTGTTTGGCTTAGTAACCGTATTTTGTGTCGTTTCAAAGGCAATATTTTTAGAATTCAGCTTGTTTTGTTGCAAAATTTCAAAATTTTTAAACTTATTTGCTCAAAAATTTGTTTGACAGTTTTTTTATTGTTTTGTTTTCGGAGCAATTGTCGTCTACTCACTTATTGTCAGCGTAGGTGGCGCTTGGTAAACCTTATAAGCTTCTTGGATAATGCTGATTGTGTTTTTCGAATGGTATTTTTTTTATTTTTACCCAATAAAAAAAAACTGTTTTTTTTGTGCCAAAAAAATTTTTTTATTTAATTATTTCCGTCTTTTTTCTATTCGCTAGCTTGCAGAGTTGCGCTTCGCCTCTGTGTCAAGATTTTATGTACACAAATTTTCTCTTTCTGATTGTGTGCATTTCGCAGCAATATATAGTTCTCTGAAATTTAAGTTTTCATCGCGCTAGCAATCGAGTATTTTTCAAACATTACGAAGTTTTAGTCTGAAATTTGTTTCGACTAATTTAGCTCCTAATTAGAGCAATTATCGCAGGGTATTAGGCACAAACATTTATCGATATGCCGCCTAAGCCTTATACTTGCCCTTATCTTATGCCTCTTAAGTGTTAAATCGTCGTTCTAGATACTGGAAAATGAAACGTAAACTTCTGTCCAGTCAAGATGACAATCTGCTTAGCCTGACGTCAACAGACCCTGAAGTGGAAAGTTCAGTAAGTGAACCATCAGTTGTGGAATTCAGTCCAAAAATTTCAGTTGCAGTTGACAGCAAACTGTCGAATCTGAGTGATCAAAAATGCTCATTCACGTGGCCATCTGCAATCAGTTTGTCTCGTTATTTCTGTTCACATCCTGAAGTTGTTTCTGGGAAGAGAATTTTAGAATTGGGTTGTGGGACTGGAGTGCCTTCAATTGTTGCATTAAAATTAGGCGCCAAAAAAGTCATTTTAACAGACACTGAAACCTCGTTTGCAGCAAGAACTATTCAATTGAATGATTTGATAAGTTCCGAAAACGTGAAGTTTTTAAATTATAACTGGGGATCAATATCGCCGTTACTACATGACGTCGGAAGTATCGACTTGATCATTGCTTCTGATTGTTTTTACGAAAGTTATCAATTCGAGTTGCTGATAAAAACAGTTGCCTACCTAATCAAATTGAATGAAGGTGCCAGTTTTGTGTTCTCATACCCACTTCGAGATGCGCTGAAATCTCTAAGATGGATTTTGAAAGAGTATAATTTACATGGATTTTTAATTCTTAAAGATCAGGTTGAGTCTTCTGAAATTTTACTATGCTGTATTCGTAGATTAAAGTAGATGTCATTTTGTTTGTTTTTCAACTGAAATGAAAGTTTTGAGCATTGATTTGATTCGGTGCTTGGTAGAAATGTTTTGAAAATTGAATTTTCAAGAGATTTTTTCTTTCATTATACTTTTCAGTACTAAGTTATGCTAGGCTGTGCTGAAAGTATTTTCAAACTGCGTCGGTTTGCTCGACAGCAAAGCAAAAAATGCCTGTTTTGCAATCAACTGAATATCAAAGCCATTCAACTACGTGCGAGTTCTAGTAAGCTGAGCAACAAAGAGCGGAAAATTTTGCGCAAGAGAAAAGCTCTCGAGAAACAAGCTGCGACGGAAGCGAAGGAGAAGTTAAACTCAACGGTTACTTGGTCAGTTAATATGAAAGACTCTCTGGCTGCTGATGAAAGACTTTCTAAAACCGAATCTTGTAAATCTATTAAAGACCTGAAAGCTGAAATAAAAGCCACTTATTCGGATTTGGGCAAAAAATATTCACCAGCTGTTTCTGAACTGGGATGGGATAAATTTAGCAATGAACTGCTTAACAACAGCAATGTACACATTCATTATGGCAAAAAAATCGAATCTTGCTGTAATTGTTAAACAGCTCCAATTACTCACAGCTCGAATTGGTAACCGCTTGCCTCTTTTTCTAGTTTTCTATGATAGCTTATTAAGACAGAAACTGCAGAGAGAGTTAGAAAAGGGTCTTAACTATGTATCAGGGTCGTAAGATTTCCTGTTTGATAGACACAGGTATTATGAAAACGTATGGGATTGGGTTTTTTGTTATATTTTTTGAGAGGCTTTGGAAGATTTTAATACTTTTTGCAAAACGTAGTTGTTCTCAAAAACTCTTCGACTGATTTTCAAAAAATGGATATCCATAGAAAGATCGCTTACATTTTTGTGGTCTCTGTTTGCATACTCCCCTTGTCTCTTTTTGCTTTACCCCTTTGTCTACAGCCTTCGAAAAAGCCTGTGAGGGGAATGTTTGACCGATATTTTTGATTTTTTTTCTCAAAAACTATCCTACCAACTTTGAGATTCTAGTTACAATCAATATATCGGATTTGAGAAGCTCCCATCCATAAGCGGCTACGCCCATTTTTTTAAACTAATTTATAGCCCTCGGAATAATGAAATGTTTGGTTTTTTGACCGTTTTTTGAATTTTTTTCAAATTTTCTAGAAAATAACCTCTCAAAACTGAGATTGTGGGTTCCTTAGAGATAACGGGTAGTTAGAAGCTACCCTGCCTTAGCTGCCACTCAGAAATAGTTTTACACAAAAAGTTGTCGCCCTCTAAAAAAGTCAATTTTTTTTGTGCGTTTTTTAAACTTTTTGAATTTGCTCGAAAACTAACCCTGCATTATCTGAGATTTTGAGTTCGCTTCAAGGAACGGGTTGTGGAAAATTCCTTTTCATACGCGAATACGCTCAAATTTTTTGACACAAAAAGTTCTGGCCCTCGGAAAAGTCAAACTTTTGATTTTCGACAGTTTTTTTTTTAAACTTTTCTCGAGAACTACCAAACCTGGGTTTTTGGGTTCAAACGAAATAGCATTTCGGGTCAATCTCTTCTGCATAAGCTCTTACGCCCAATTTCTTATAACAAAAATCTTTGATTTTCGGAAATGACAGTTTTCTGATTTGTTGACCGTTTTTTGGACTTTACTCGATAGCTCTCCTGACAAATCTGATATCATAGGTTTAATCGACACAACAGGTTGTTGGAATCTTCGCTTTATTATTTGCTACGCCCAATTTGTTTTTTGAAAAAGTCATGCCATTCAAATGAGTGAATGTTTCGAAACTTTGACCGTTTTTTGAGTTTTTTTTCCTCGAAAACTACCGTGCCAATTCTCAGGTTGTGTTCAATCGAGAAACCCGAATTTGGTAATCTTCTGTACTTTACCGGACATGACCTGTTTTAAGCTGAAAAAACTTAACGAATTTCGGAAAGTCAATTTTTTGAACAGTGACCGTTTCTTAGAAACTTTTGAATTTTTCTTAAAAAGTACCCTATCAAATCTGAAGTGAAAAGTTCAATCAAAAGAAACGGTTGCGCGAATTTGTCCTCCAGAAACGTCTACTCCCTAATATGTTGTGAGATGAAAGTAATGTATCTAGAAAAATTTCAAAAAATTAAAAATTTTTACTTAGTCGTTTCACTGCTTAAAGGTTTTGGACAAAGTCTAATTTTTGAAATAACGCATTTCGTCCCGCATCTCTTTGTGTTTGTGTGATTTTTTCTGTAGTTCAGCTACCTTAGCGCTGCGGATTGGCTTCGTTTTTGACAAGTGTGATGTAACGAAAGTGCTTTTTGATACATCCGGATGTTTATCATGGACATGCAGTTTGTTTGGTTCTAAGGTTTTCAGAGAAGTTTCTTGGTGAATTTTCGAGTTTTGATCTTGATTTTGGCGCCGAAACAAAGAAATTAATGAAGTTTCTTTATCCTGAATTCTCTGCGTTTTTGGTTTTTCAGTTCTTTAAGAATTGCAAAAAATTTTCAGCCGACAATTGATTTAACATAATTCATTTAATTGTTTCTTTTTTTTTTCGTACGAGCCAGATTATCTTTTGAACTTTGGCATGTAGTTTTGTTTTGCAAGTGCTGTGCAGCTCTTCTTCTTCTCTGTGTTAGTTAGTGTTAAAAGTTGAAATCTGGATCGAATGTATTTTGTAACATCCTTAAATTTGAAAAATTGCAGCTAGTGGAAATAGCTACTTTGGTCATAGGTTAAAAGAAGTATAGTGATACAAACTTGAATGTACATAGCTGTCTGATTTGGTCAGCATTTTCAACCAAAAGTCAAGCAAAGGTCTGAGAAGTTCACAATGTTGATGCCCCCTCCGAACGTGACTGGAGACCTACATATGGGACATGCATTGGATATCTCCATTCAGGATGCGGTGTCCAGGTACAACTTGATGTGTGGAAAGAACGTCAGATGGATACCAGGTTAAAATACAATTTAGAGGCAGCTAACTTCACTGATTTCAATCAGAAAAAATGTTCAAAATTGCCTGAAAATTATTTTTTAAAAGTTGATTATTTTGTAGACGCTATATTTAACCAATGAATTGTCGATAAGCAATTCAAATGTTTCAGGGCGCTATATTGAGTCTATTTTGTCAGCAAATTTGATAAAATAATTGTGGTTATAATAAAAAATGATGACATTGTGGCGCTCCGGTAGTGATGGCGCCCACCAATCCGTAACACGACAACTCACAAGAAAAAAAAAACTAGCAAAAAAGACAACTCGTTGAAATTAGCAATTATGACATTTTGCAATAGTTCGCAATGAAATTGTAAGATAATCCCCTAATTAACCTTTAGCTAAGACCCCTAATTCCCCATCAAAAAACCGTCTTTTTTTTCAAATCGAAACAATTATTGGCGAGAGATAAAAGTCTCTTTGCTCGTTTAACGGAAACAATTGAGTTCAAAACCTTGATAGCATTAATTGGTGAATAATCAGTTTGATTTCTAATTTTGTTTCTAGTAGTTTGAGTAATGTTGTAATTCAGTACAAGTCAGCGCGGAAACGAATCTTGAGCTTTGAAGACAAAAATTTTAATGAAGTTCGATTTCATGAAAAAAGCGGGATAACAACTCGAAGATGCTCAAAAAGACCTTTTAAACCGCAAATTTTTGCATTTGACGATTTATTTGTGGAGAAAAATTTGAATCTTTTACGTTCAGTGTTGCCTCATGAATTAGAAGTTGAATAGTGAGTTTTCTACATGTGTCTGACCTTTTTTTGCCATTTTAAAATTCGATTACAAAAGGGGTGAAAAAGCATAGCTGTTAATCTTGCATAACAGTTAGAAATTGTGGGAGTATGTACGTAAAAACCAATTTTGACAAATAGTTTCAACAAACATTTGAAATATATCTGGGGTGCAAAATGTTATTTTCCACAAGGTTAAGGTGTCATGCAAAAGAAAAGGAACAAACGCAAAAGATGTCTGAGCTATTTGTCAAAATGTAACGAGCACCTTTTCTAAGGAATGCGCAGCAAACATGCCTAAATTTACGTCGGTTGCAAGAGCGATTCAGCACTATGGAGACGTTGGAGTTCAACTGAAATGAAAGTTTTGAGCATTGATTTGATTCGGTGCTTGGTAGAAATGTTATGAAAATTGAATTTTCAAGAGATTTTTTCTTTAATTATACTTTTCAGTACTAAGTTATGCTAAGCTGTGCTGAAATTATTTTCAAACTGCGTCAGTTTGCTCGACAGCAAAGCAAAAAATGCCTGTTTTGCAATCAACTGAATATCAAAGCCATTCAACTACGTGCGAGTTCTAGTAAGCTGAGCAACAAAGAGCGGAAAATTTTGCGCAAGAGAAAAGCTCTCGAGAAACAAGCTGCGACGGAAGCGAAGGAGAAGTTAAACTCAACGGTTACTTGGTCAGTTAATATGAAAGACTCTCTGGCTGCCGATGAAAGACTTTCTAAAACCGAATCTTGCAAATCTATTAAAGACCTGAAAGCTGAAATAAAAGCCACTTATTCGGATTTGGGCAAAAAATATTCACCAGCTGTTTCTGAACTGGGATGGGATAAATTTAGCAATGAACTGCTTAACAACAGCAATGTACACATTCATTATGGCAAAAAAATCGAATCTTGCTGTAATTGTTAAACAGCTCCAATTACTCACAGCTCGAATTGGTAACAGCTTGCCTCTTTTTCTAGTTTTCTATGATAGCTTATTAAGACAGAGAAACCGCAGAGAGAGTTAGAAAAGGGCCTTAACTATGTATCAGGGTCGTAAGATTTCCTGTTTGATAGACACAGGTATTATGAAAACGTATGGGGTTGGGTTTTTTGTTATATTTTTTGAGAGGCTTTGGAAGATTTTAATACTTTTTGCAAAACGTAGTTGTTCTCAAAAACTCTTCGACTGATTTTCAAAAAATGGATATCCATAGAAAGATCGCTTACATTTTTGTGGTCTCTGTTTGCATACTCCCCTTGTCTCTTTTTGCTTTACCCCTTTGTCTACAGCCTTCGAAAAAGCCTGTGAGGGGAATGTTTGACCGATATTTTTGATTTTTTTTCTCAAAAACTATCCTACCAACTTTGAGATTCTAGTTACAATCAATATATCGGATTTGAGAAGCTCCCATCCATAAGCGGCTACGCCCATTTTTTTAAACTAATTTATAGCCCTCGGAATAATGAAATGTTTGGTTTTTTGACCGTTTTTTGAATTTTTTTCAAATTTTCTAGAAAATAACCTCTCAAAACTGAGATTGTGGGTTCCTTAGAGATAACGGGTAGTTAGAAGCTACCCTGCCTTAGCTGCCACTCAGAAATAGTTTTACACAAAAAGTTGTCGCCCTCTAAAAAAGTCAATTTTTTTTGTGCGTTTTTTAAACTTTTTGAATTTGCTCGAAAACTAACCCTGCATTATCTGAAATTTTGAGTTCGCTTCAAGGAACGGGTTGTGGAAAATTCCTTTTCATACGCGAATACGCTCAAATTTTTTGACACAAAAAGTTCTGGCCCTCGGAAAAGTCAAACTTTTGATTTTCGACAGTTTTTTTTTTAAACTTTTCTCGAGAACTACCAAACCTGGGTTTTTGGGTTCAAACGAAATAGCATTTCGGGTCAATCTCTTCTGCATAAGCTCTTACGCCCAATTTCTTATAACAAAAATCTTTGATTTTCGGAAATGACAGTTTTCTGATTTGTTGACCGTTTTTTGGACTTTACTCGATAGCTCTCCTGACAAATCTGATATCATAGGTTTAATCGACACAACAGGTTGTTGGAATCTTCGCTTTATTATTTGCTACGCCCAATTTGTTTTTTGAAAAAGTCATGCCATTCAAATGAGTGAATGTTTCGAAACTTTGACCGTTTTTTGAGTTTTTTTTCCTCGAAAACTACCGTGCCAATTCTCAGGTTGTGTTCAATCGAGAAACCCGAATTTGGTAATCTTCTGTACTTTACCGGACATGACCTGTTTTAAGCTGAAAAAACTTAACGAATTTCGGAAAGTCAATTTTTTGAACAGTGACCGTTTCTTAGAAACTTTTGAATTTTTCTTAAAAAGTACCCTATCAAATCTGAAGTGAAAAGTTCAATCAAAAGAAACGGTTGCGCGAATTTGTCCTCCAGAAACGTCTACTCCCTAATATGTTGTGAGATGAAAGTAATGTATCTAGAAAAATTTCAAAAAATTAAAAATTTTTACTTAGTCGTTTCACTGCTTAAAGGTTTTGGACAAAGTCTAATTTTTGAAATAACGCATTTCGTCCCGCATCTCTTTGTGTTTGTGTGATTTTTTCTGTAGTTCAGCTACCTTAGCGCTGCGGATTGGCTTCGTTTTTGACAAGTGTGATGTAACGAAAGTGCTTTTTGATACATCCGGATGTTTATCATGGACATGCAGTTTGTTTGGTTCTAAGGTTTTCAGAGAAGTTTCTTGGTGAATTTTCGAGTTTTGATCTTGATTTTGGCGCCGAAACAAAGAAATTAATGAAGTTTCTTTATCCTGAATTCTCTGCGTTTTTGGTTTTTCAGTTCTTTAAGAATTGCAAAAAATTTTCAGCCGACAATTGATTTAACATAATTCATTTAATTGTTTCTTTTTTTTTTCGTACGAGCCAGATTATCTTTTGAACTTTGGCATGTAGTTTTGTTTTGCAAGTGCTGTGCAGCTCTTCTTCTTCTCTGTGTTAGTTAGTGTTAAAAGTTGAAATCTGGATCGAATGTATTTTGTAACATCCTTAAATTTGAAAAATTGCAGCTAGTGGAAATAGCTACTTTGGTCATAGGTTAAAAGAAGTATAGTGATACAAACTTGAATGTACATAGCTGTCTGATTTGGTCAGCATTTTCAACCAAAAGTCAAGCAAAGGTCTGAGAAGTTCACAATGTTGATGCCCCCTCCGAACGTGACTGGAGACCTACATATGGGACATGCATTGGATATCTCCATTCAGGATGCGGTGTCCAGGTACAACTTGATGTGTGGAAAGAACGTCAGATGGATACCAGGTTAAAATACAATTTAGAGGCAGCTAACTTCACTGATTTCAATCAGAAAAAATGTTCAAAATTGCCTGAAAATTATTTTTTAAAAGTTGATTATTTTGTAGACGCTATATTTAACCAATGAATTGTCGATAAGCAATTCAAATGTTTCAGGGCGCTATATTGAGTCTATTTTGTCAGCAAATTTGATAAAATAATTGTGGTTATAATAAAAAATGATGACATTGTGGCGCTCCGGTAGTGATGGCGCCCACCAATCCGTAACACGACAACTCACAAGAAAAAAAAACTAGCAAAAAAGACAACTCGTTGAAATTAGCAATTATGACATTTTGCAATAGTTCGCAATGAAATTGTAAGATAATCCCCTAATTAACCTTTAGCTAAGACCCCTAATTCCCCATCAAAAAACCGTCTTTTTTTTCAAATCGAAACAATTATTGGCGAGAGATAAAAGTCTCTTTGCTCGTTTAACGGAAACAATTGAGTTCAAAACCTTGATAGCATTAATTGGTGAATAATCAGTTTGATTTCTAATTTTGTTTCTAGTAGTTTGAGTAATGTTGTAATTCAGTACAAGTCAGCGCGGAAACGAATCTTGAGCTTTGAAGACAAAAATTTTAATGAAGTTCGATTTCATGAAAAAAGCGGGATAACAACTCGAAGATGCTCAAAAAGACCTTTTAAACCGCAAATTTTTGCATTTGACGATTTATTTGTGGAGAAAAATTTGAATCTTTTACGTTCAGTGTTGCCTCATGAATTAGAAGTTGAATAGTGAGTTTTCTACATGTGTCTGACCTTTTTTTGCCATTTTAAAATTCGATTACAAAAGGGGTGAAAAAGCATAGCTGTTAATCTTGCATAACAGTTAGAAATTGTGGGAGTATGTACGTAAAAACCAATTTTGACAAATAGTTTCAACAAACATTTGAAATATATCTGGGGTGCAAAATGTTATTTTCCACAAGGTTAAGGTGTCATGCAAAAGAAAAGGAACAAACGCAAAAGATGTCTGAGCTATTTGTCAAAATGTAACGAGCACCTTTTCTAAGGAATGCGCAGCAAACATGCCTAAATTTACGTCGGTTGCAAGAGCGATTCAGCACTATGGAGACGTTGGAGTTGGGGGACATCACAATTCCCATGGAACTTAGACAACTCTAAGGGGGTCAATATCTTGGCTCATGGCTCGGGGTAGGGGTATTGTAACAGTATTCCTGTTTTCGCCACTGAGGCAAACTTGGACTTTCTTGAGCGATACAAAATTGGCATGCTGATTGCATATTTTAAAGTTGTCCATGGTTTTATCAAGTATATAGTGTGCATGCTGTTATAAATAACTACTCACTCCCAATGGTTTAGTTTATTTTCTGTTACGTGAAGTTAATCCACTATTAGAGCCAACAGAAACTGTTACTGGTTTCGAAAAAGCCATCAATTGGAATTTTGGAATTCTCCGCAGCATCTGTGGAAGGTTGCTTTTTATTGTTTCGCGGAAGGCCAATTGAAGAAAAATTGAATAAGGACTAGCTGTTGATAACAGAAAAAGCAAAAGTTAAAAAAGAAAATGAAACCATTTTTTGATATGGCTCTTGTTCCTATAAGCGTCTTGAAAGTGGCAGAAGCTCTATACGCTACAAAAACTGAGAATGAGCAGCTCAGGCCATATCATGATTGTTTCGAAAAACAGCGGGTGTTGTTATATATTTTTCTACAAAAAGATCTAGATTTCAAACTGGCTTTTTGGAATCAGTTCAAAATTGCGATAAATGGAAATCAAAAACAATTCATTCGGTCGATGGATGGTATACAGCTTTTCAATTAAAAATGGGTTATGCTCACTGTACTATTAAGTTTCATGAAGCAATGAGGGAAGGCGCAAAGTTTAATCAAAAAAGGCCTGATTCGGTTCAAGTCCGGAAAAAGAAGCTATAAGTGTCATAATTATGAAAAATTGCAAGAAAGAATATCAGAAACTCTTAATAACTATCAAAAAATGATTTAATTTCATAGCTGGAAGCGCTTTTTTAACTTTGATTTGTAAAAACTTTTTATATCAAAGAAGTTTTGACGCCTCAAAGACTGATATTTACCGCTGTTTTGCTTTTTTATTTATTTTAAAGGAAAGTTCAATGTTGAAAGAGTTTTGAATAAGTTCTCTTTTTGCGAGTTGCCTTGTTGTTAAGCTTTTGCGAATTGTATTTTTTGTGAGGTTTCTTTTGTTGCGAGTTGTCGCGGTTTCCCGGCAATCATACGATTGCTGTTTTAAATCGCACTTGCGCTGCAATTTACAAAGTGAGTTCTTGCAAGTAACTCATAGCTTAATAGGCGCTCTTATCAGCCTAAATAATTAACCTCCTGGTTTTGCCTCTGGGCTGGTTGACTAAAACAAAGATTTGAGCGTTCTTTTAGGGTACGATCACGCTGGAATTGCGTCACAAGTTGTGGCGGAGAGAGCGCTGAGCCAAAATGGCCAGACAAGACAATCGATGGGACGAGAAAAGTTTCTTGATTACATGGAAACCTTTGCAGAAACTTCATCAAACAATATTCGGCAACAAATAAAACGAATCGGTGCTTCTGTATCATGGAGCTTCAATGCCTATACTATGAGTTCGAGTTACTCGTTTGCAGTAGCTGAAGCATTCAGGCTTCTTTTCAATCAAGGGTTGATTAAACGAAAACCTGACCTTGTACGTTGGAGTCCTACACTTCAATCAGTTATCAGTGATTCGGAAGTCTTTATGAAAACAATCGGACCTGGCAAAAATTCTTTCACGGAGATGGGAAAGAACATTGAAAGCAAATTGTTCGGGTTGATGTTTCATATTAAGTATAAAGTCTCTAATGGCGAGTTTGTAACTGTAGCGACCAGTCGACCCGAAACAATGTTTGCAGACGTTGCTCTTTGTGTGAATCCCAACGACTCACGGTACTCAAGTTTGATTGGCCAATACGCAATAAATCCAGTTGATAACAGGAAATTAGTCATCTATGCGGATGATAAAGTTGCAGTTGATTTCGGAACTGGTGTCATGAAATTAACACCCTCGCATAATACAACAGACGACGAAATTTGCTCGCGTATTGGAATTAAAATGGACCGAGAATTACGAGAGGGAATGTATGATAACGAGTGTAAATTGAATAAGTTATGCGGGAAGTTTGAAGGTTTGAACAGATTTGAAGCTCGCGAACAAGTCGTAAACATGCTTACAGAGGCGAACCAAATAGAGCAAATAGAAGAAAGGTCTTCGTTCCTACCTTTTTGTGTTCGCAGCGGCGACTTACTTGAATTCTTTAATAAGGATCAATGGTTTCTCGATACAAATATCCTACTGAGCAAATGGAAAAATGAAATTTTGGAAGTAGTTTCGGTTGACAATAGTGGTGCGATGCAAAAAGCGATTGATAAAGAGGCCAGCTTTAACTGGTGTTTGTCTAGACAAATCTGGTGGGGGCATCAGGTTCCCGCTTACAAAGTCATAATCAATGACCAAGAAAAAGGTAATTTTTCCAATCATTGTGCTTTTGAAAAGGAAAGTGCTTGAAAGAGTGAAAAGAGTTAGCAAACGTTTTTTTACAAAGAAATCAAATATCCAAAGAGGAACAAAAACAGCTGACTTTTTAAAAGCTGAATATGCGCTTTTAGACCTTTTTGATTTTTTCAAAAGACTTCAGACCACTCTAATATCAGACTTGAGCTACATTCAGGGTTAAATATGTTCTTCATGATCGGTAACTACTTTGATGTTTTTGATACATTTATTGCACTTGTGACCGTGAACAACTTAGTTCACATGAATCATCTCCTGAAGGCCTCTGGTGGAAGTTAAGTGCAACGATGGTATTTTATGCATGTTTCTTTTTTAAATAACCGTACTTTTCGGAATTTAATATTTCGTGCATTTTTTATGCTTTATTGCTTTTCAGTCATTTTGGCACATAGTTTTTTTGAAATTTTTGTTATTTGGAGAGCTACTGGTTTTTCTTGTTTAAGTTTGCGGTAGCAAGTGTTTTAGAATCGGGCACTAGGATACCTTGCTTAGTTTTTCATTGCGTGATCATTCATCCACTTGCATACACGCTCGTATCATTAATTTTTATAATTGATATTATGCTAAGACATCTGCGTAAACAGTTTTGCTGTTTTGATATCAAAGTATTGCATTTTTTTCGGCCCAAACGTTGTTTGCCTAAATAATGTCGGCTTTCGAAAATTTTCCTTCACTTTTTTTTTACTTCTTCAAACAATATTTTTGGGGTTTCGTCTAGAATTTCTATTTAGGCTGGATTCGGCTGAAAACTTGAAAATTGGGAGTGTTTGCTTAGTAAACTAAGTGCAAAACGAGAAAATTTGAGAAAAATTTTGGTTAAATGTCAACAAAGTGAATTGTTTAAGCTCCCTTATTTTTTGGGGTCGTTTTTTAAATTTTAATAGCTGATCTTTTCTATGTGGGATTTTGTAGAATGTATTTTTTCGACCATCTGGATTTTTTTTTTCGACCATCTGGATTTTCGACCATCTAAATTTTATATGAATAAAAGGGGAAAGGCATTTTTTTCGTTTTTTAGTGTACATTTTTTCTTAGAAAGGGTCTAAGAGCAGAAAAACAGACAAAACTGAATTGTACGAGCTAATCGATAAACACAGGTATTAGAATCGTCAATATTTCCACTTAAAAGACTAACTCGCAAATAAAACCGCTCATTTGGCGGCACTTTTGCTATAATCACGATCTGTAACATTGTAAATACATAGCATCTGTTCTCTGTTTTATTCGTGGCTAGTGTTTGTCGATTGCTAAGCGTCGTTGGCCGAGAGGGAAGGACACGAGACTCCAAATCTTGAGATGGAAGGTTCGAATTCGATACGTAGCAAAAGTCTTACTAATTCGAGGTTTATTTTCACTTTTTCCCACTTTATGGAGCTGCTTCTTTGTAGTTTTTTCGCTAGTGTTTTCGATGCGCAGTTTCGCCCCTGTGTCAAAATTTTTCAAATTCCCCTTAAAAGTAAACTTGGTGAAATTACTCAATTTTTGTACAATTTAGTCACTTCGTTTTTGGTATTAACGATTCCAGAAATTGTTTTTATCGATTGGCCCATACAAATTAATATTTTTCTGTTTTTTCTGCTCTAAGAGCTTTTCTGCTCTTGGGTTATTCTGCTTATTGTTTGGCCTCCGGTCAAAAGGTAGAATTTTTGTATTTCCTACTCATCAAAAAGAAGACAAATACATATATTAACCAATCAGAAACAAGATAAGAAAAACAAAGGTAAGCAAAAAAATAGTTAGTTAATATAGATTTTTTTACTCTATAATTTGTCTATTTTTTCCTACGTAACCGTTTAGAGTCAAGATGGCTACTTAGGCGCGGGATGGAGCATTTCTGGGCACACTCAGTGTTCAAATATTTGTCCTCATTCAAGCGTAAAACCTAATTAAAATTGACTTTGTCTGAACTCAAGACAGATTATTGCATGCTAAACTTTGCTGTCAATCATTCGCTGATAAAAATATTGTACGTATGAGCTGCATTCTGCTCTTTGATTTTCGTTGTTGTTTATCATCCAATTATTGAAATTCGCCGCAATGCAATTTATCTCCGAAGTAACATTTTTCTCTTGTAATATTTTTTTATCCGAAGTAATATTTTTCTTGTTGCCGATAATTTTAGATCGAAATTAATAACCGATCTACCCACCACCGAAGGTAGAAACATGGTCCGACGGCCCCTTAAGTCACAAAGACTTTTAATGATCAGATGATAAACGCCCTAAAAGTCAGAAGAGAAACGGCAAATTTACCATTGCAAACGGAATTATTAATTAAAATTAAATAAAATACAACAGATTTGGAAAGCGTTTGTCCAATAGAATAGGATCCGTCAAAACTAATTCGTGGAAAGCATCAAGCTCACATTAGGTTGTTATCTCAAAAAGGTCAACGTCTGTATTTGAAATTTAAATGGCTTGAATTTGTTTATTAAGAGCGGATGAACGTAGTTCAGACGCTTATAGAGGTCGCGATGATTTTTTTCCGTTTTTTCAGGAAGTCTTAAAATTTGTCAAATTTACTTTTTCGTGGTTTCTTTTGATTTCTTTTTAAGTTTACTTCATTTCCTATGTAAAAGAAGACAAACTCGACTATCGAACAGCTGAAAAGTAAAGGTCACAAATAACGTCATACTTCGAAAACGGAATTTAAATATCAGATTTCCCGGCGAAATATAAAACTACCTTTTGAATAAGTTTTCTCAAGTGAGTTAATTTTATCTAAAAAGTATCAATCATAAATTGTTCTAGAAATTCCAAGAGCTTTAAGGCCATATATTTGTTTCTTGGAATTCGAAAGGTGAGATTTTTTCGAAAAAAAAAACAAACCAGTATTTTTTTTGTTTAACTGTGTTCATTGACTCTTTTCCAACCGTCTGTTGGCTGTGTTTACAATTAGATCATAATCTTTTGTCCAGGCTTTGTGTGTGAGCACAATGAGTCTCTTGCTAAGAGTGAGGCTGTGACGTCATACAACTGTCACCCAGATGACGTCATGCTGAAGAGAGACAGTGATGTGCTGGACACGTGGTTCTCATCCGCCATATACCCTCTGGCTGCTCTGAACTGGCCACATAGAAGTACTAACCAGCTCATAGGATCAGGTGAGAAACGTTGCAGTTGTTCTGGAATTTTCTCTTAGTCTTCGCCGCTATTCAAACGTTCTACAAAGCGCATCTTAATTCAACTGAACTTGAGACAATGATGAAATTCTCGAACGAAAAAAAGGCGTGTAAAGAACTAAGTGATATGTTTAGCATTTAGTGACGTGTCATTTAGAGCGATTTGCAAGTAAAAAAGAAGTTTTTCTGAGAAAAAACTATGCAGCACAAATATTTCATCATTTTCTTCAAATGTCAGAGCAGCAAACTGGATGTTGTTAGAAAATGGATCATGAAACTTATGCTAAAAACTTTTCATGTAAATCAGCAACAAAAGAAATTTGTTTTAGATCTTTTTTACGCATGCGATTAATAAGCTTGCGATTTGCAAGCGTTATTAAATCAGAGTCAGGGGCGGATCTAGGTTTTTCTTGTGGGGGCGGATTTTCAAAATTTTTTCGAAAATTTTAGTGACCTTTTTTAAGGTTGGCTAAATTGTTTTTCCGAGCTCTCCCAAAGAACTAAAAAGACCCTATTTTGGCCAAATTTTGAGAAACCAGGCCAAAAAACCGCGGTTGTTGGCTTTTTGAGAATTTTGACCAAAAAATTGCGATTTTGGTTGGCGCTTCCCTCTCAAAATTAGTAAATATTGGCGCCGAAGGCGTCTTTAGAAAAATTTTAGGGTTCGGCAGCCAAAAGTTGATGTCTCAAAATAGTATAAAGGGGATTTTGGGTCGGCAGGGGGTTGAATTCCTGAGAAGGGAAGGCGTCCGCGTATCCGCCCTCCCCCCATAAATCAGCTTCTGATCATTGAATCCTTTCTGCTGCTAACATGCTCAATTTTTGCAAAATCAAATTCAACATTTGACCAATAAATATTTAGTAAGTACTGATAAATTATGTATCTAGGGTTCTAACCATTTTTGTTAAGATTAGAATTTTGATATTAATTTTTAAGAGTCGATGAGCATAATGAAGATTCTTTTATATAGTTTGTTATGATTTTTTTTCAGAAAAAGTATTAAAAGTTGTTTCGGCTCAATTTTGGTTTTTCACGGTTTGACTTCTGATTTTTTTCTTTGAGTTTCGTCGTTCAATTTATTTCCTTTTTTTAAATGAAGGCAAACTCACTAATTTAAAAAAAACGTCAAGATAACGAAAAACGTGATCCGCTTCCTGCTCTTAAGTAAATGCTATTTACGCTTGCGATTAACAAACTAGTTTAACAAAATCAGTTGAATCAACTGCTGGCTTGATTATGCTCATGCCTGATGACATGCTTAACTCCTGGGTGCAATGTTTATTACTGGGATTTTTTTCACAATTAAATTAATTTTTTGTCGGCTTGTGGCTTTCATCTCAACTTTTTTCGGCTTACTTGCCGGATGTATTAATTTTTTTATTAATATTTCTAAATTGTTTGCTTTATAATAAATTCAAACACAATGTGAGTTTTTAACGTGGGTTCAATGAAACAACTGGTCATGGGAAGTGCTCCTGCATGATCAACTAAGCCCAATTATTTCAACTCAAAAGTTAGGGCCCTCGGAAAGAACAAATAAATTATTTTTTGACCATTTTTTTATATTATTTTTGACAACTTGATCAAATCCGAGGTAATTGGTTTAATCTAAAAAACGGTTTGTGAGAAAGTTCCTTGCATAGTTGGCTACGAACGATAATTGTTTTTTTACCGTTCTTTGAAACTAATTGATTTTTTTTTCTCGAAAACTATCCTCTATGATTTGAGTTGTTGCGTTTAATCGAAATAACAGGTTGTGCGAATCTCCTCTGTATAAGTGGCTACAGTCAATTTTTTTCATAATTTAAGCTATGATTCTCAGAAAAGTAAACTTTTTGATTTAGTGACCGTTTTTTGGAATTTTTTTACTTTTCTCGAAAACTACCCTGCCAATTCTTAGTTTTATTTGGTCAATTGAGAAACTCGGTTTTGAAAATTTTATTGCTGAAAAAAGATATTGCATTGAACTTTCGATTGTTGTTCAGAAACTTTTGATTTTTTAAATAAACTACCTTGGGATTCAATCGAATGAAACGGCTGTGAGAGTTTTTCCTGTAGAAGCGGCGTGTCTTTAACTTTTTTGTCTTTGGGAAGATATCAATTTCTCATAAATTTTTGCCCTTCTTTTTTATTATTTTAGTAGAGAAACAACTCTGGTTTTGGGCAAAGTCAATTTTTGAAATTGCCCATTTGATCACCCATCAGTATAACAAAGTTATCAAAATACCAACCTTCAGCTTTAGCTAGGCCCCTAGTTATCTTTTATCGAAACATACGAAAATTTTGGTTCTTTTTTTCAACTTTTTTCATTTTTTTCTTTTTCTTATTTTTAAAATATTTTTGTGCTGTATCGCAAGTGGTGCGAAGCTCCGCTTTGCCCCTGTGTCAAACGCTTTTGTTGTCTATGCTATTATTATACTTTTATATTACATTCTGGTGTTTGTGTCGTTGCGGCCTCTATAAATGGCTAGGAACTTTGTATTTGAGTGTGTTTCAGTTTTTCTAGATTTTCTGTCTCACAAAACGTTGGGTACCTTGGACATTTTTTTAACATAAGGTAAATTGATACTTCTTATGAGAGCTCTTTAATTGTATTTGATTGATACTTTGAAGAAAAATAACCAAACACTGGCCTGTGAGGTCTAGTTATTTGCAGAACAATTTTAGCTTGTAGGAAAAATTTTGAGTGAAAATTGTTTACAAAACTTAGTTGGGTGTTTTTTGTATGATTCTTCGCTAATAAGCCATTTAGAATAAATATTGAAACTTGTGTCTCGTAAGTTAATTTTTAGTCCCTCCTAACTTAAATAACTCCTAACCCTAGCACGCGCAAAAATTGTTTCGTTTTTTGGTTTCCGCAAAGTTAACGGTGGTCAGAATATTGTGTGCTTGTCGCATAGACACCAGCTAATATTATGGAAGTTAAAAGTCGGTGTATACCTTTCAGGGCGCTACCCTACCGATCTTCTGGTGACTGGTTTTGATATTCTCCACCCATGGGTCATGCGCATGCTCCTCTTGTGCACTGAGCTGACTGAAGGAACTGTACCATTCAAGAATGTGTATCTGCATGGTCTAGTTTTGGACCCCTTTGGACGCAAAATGAGCAAGTCACTGGGCAATGTGATCGACCCTCTGCAGATTATAAACGGAGTTACGGCCAAGGATTTCAAAGCAAATATGAAAGTGAGCGATGAAAATACGTGATTAGACATTGCCGCCCCAGTCATTTCCGCCCCAGACACTTCCACCCCAAAAGCAGTCATTTCAGGAACTGACTGTTTTTGGGGCGCAAAGGACTGTGTTTTTGGGGTGAAAATAACTGTGGACGAATTGACTGGGAGCCGAAAATATCTCCAGTTTTTCTTGTTTGAACTTATTTAGTTTTGTTGCGTAAGGATAAGATACTAAACCATACGCCTTTTTTGCCGAATTTTCTTACCAGATTATGAATTTTTAGTCTTATTAATTTGCTACTTATAATATTTCCCGATTGAGAAGACTGATGAAACAACTGCTCTAAATTTTCGATTGAAATTTTCTTCGTGATAATTTTAAAGAAGGTATGTTGATGTTTCGATACGCGATATTGAAATTTTTTTTATTTGAGCGAGTTTAACCCAAGTGTCGGTTTGGGTCTCGGTCTCAGGTCTTAATTTTGAAAAATTTATTTCATAAATTAATTGCCTAGGCTAGAATACAGTCTGGACAAATGAGCAACTCGGAGAAGGATTACTTCGGCAAGTTTACAGAGAGTATCTTCGGGACTTCCGGTTCGATTCCCGCATGTGGCGCTGATACTTTGCGCATGATGTTGCTAAGAGGCAACAACAAGATAGCGTCGCCAATGAAGTTACAGCTGTCGTCGATCAAAACTTCGCTCGAGTTTTGCAATAAGCTCAAAAATGTCGCCAATTTTGTCTTCATGGTTAGTAGCCTGTTTTAAATTTCAACTTATTTTTCAGGGATTTGGCATCTGATTCAATCATAAATGCCTTTCACATATGTAATTGAAAAGCTCTTTTTTTCTACACTTGCGGGAGCGAGTCTCTTTTAATCGGGTAATAGATTTTTCTAAACTTAACTACTTGGAAAGGTGTTAGAAATCGAGCTTGCTTTATAATGAGTCATTAATTACGTTCTCAGCTGCTCATGTAATGTGGTGGTAAAGGGTTTTCGGGACATTTCGAAGGTCTTGGGTTCGATTCCTGGTCGGGCCTTGTTTTATCTATCACCAATTATGTGTTTCAATTTTTTCAGCTTTTTGGCTTTCTTCTCAATTCTTGTCGGCTTAGTTTCCGTTCTGTTACCTTTTCAAATATTTTTTTTAAATTTGTTTCAATGATGTTCCGACTTCCTAGGTTTCAACTTAAGCTCAGTTTGTTTATCTTCCGATTTATACTCTTCAGATATCTGACTGCGCGTGTTTCTGAAACGATGCATATCGCAGCGTTGTAAGCTTCTTATTGTACAAGTGCAGCTTAGTGTTATTTTATGAAGTTCACTTGCTTTCTACCCAAGTCTCAAATAAAAGACCTCATTTTTGGCATTTTTGCAGCAATAGCATTATATGGTGGTTGAATTTCACTGCATCGGTATTGTATCTTTGCATTTAGTTTAGTGGTGCCTAGTGTATGAATACTGTCAAACGACCATTGCACAGGTGCTAGTATTTTTAACTTTTAATCTCGAGTGCGGTGGTTCGATTCCGGTACATGTCTAGTTTTGTCGTCTTTCTGCTTTTTTTTAAAAAAAAATTTTGACCCTTTTCGAGTTACATTTTGATGTTTTCTCGCTTGTGTTGAAATTAATTGTTTTATTCTCTTATTTTTAGGCGTCAACGTCAAATCTATCTATTTCTTCTCAATTGTAGTTGTTATGTTTGTCGTGAATTTCAAGAGTCACTGAACGGAGTGAAGATTCTTATTCAGGTCTTGGTGACGTTTTTTGTTCGTTTATTTCTAGAAAAAAAAACTTAAAATGTTCTTATAACTACAGATGTGCATTCATAAGTTTCAATGCATTTATCAATGCACTTAAAAATATATACACTTTTTGAGATCAATTAAGATTCATCTTTCGACCTCTAGTTTTGAAAGTGGATTTAATATAAGATTAAAAACTTTATTTATTACGCTTGCAAAAGCAAGTGTCTTTAATCGGGAACAAGACTTTTCTCCCGTAAATCATTTTTCTTATAAATTTTCAATTTGCTTTATTTCTCTATGTTTTATCTAGACAAATCCATTATTCTTGTTCTTGGCCTTGTTTTTGGAGAACTGGACATCCGTCGAAATTTATTGCTCAATCTCGATGATTTTACCACGGTTTAATTTAATTACGAATCTCGAGTTTTTTAAATTTTTATCTATGCTAAAGTAAGCCTTGAACTTAACAGCAAACAACATGGCTTTCGCAAAGGTCATTCCTGTATTACGCAAATGCTGACCGTTCTTGGTAGAGTCTATTCGATTTTCGACGACAATGTGGAGCAACTGGTATTATATCGTGACTTTCAAAAAGCATTTGACTCAGTGTCGCATGCTATCCTTCCTACAAAACTCTCTTTAATCGTTTTTGACGACAGCTTTTTGCTTTGATTCAAACTTACTTTACAAAACGAACTCAGCGAGTGAAAATTAAGGTAGCACTGTCAAGCAGTCTTCCTGTTACAAGCGGGGTACCACAGGGTAGTGTTCTTGGACCTTCATTCTTCCTGGTATTCATCGACGACATGCAAGAATTACCTATGAACTCGTTGTATTATTGCTTTGCAGATGATGCTAAATTTAATACGTTCCATTCCCCTATTTTGAGGAAGATGCAGGCAGATATAGATGTTCTAAAATTATGGTCGGCCGATCATGAGCTGAATTTCAATGTATCAAAATGCGGCATCTTACCATTCGGCATTAAACATCAAGTTCCACTGTTTCTCGGCAAAATCGAAATCTCATTTTTTGATTAAAGCATTGATTTAAGCCTTGAACTTACTGGCAATCTAAAATGGAACTTTCTTGCCAGATCTAAGTTACACAAAAGTAGAAGGCTATTTTTTTATCTTCGACACTGTGTACCGAGAAGTGTTCCGTCTTCAGTGAAATTCAATTTTTACCGATCATGCGTGGTATCAGTTTTGTTGTATGGTTACCCTGTGTGGTCCTTAGACAATACAACTCTCCTTTTGAGAATTTCAATTATGCTGGTCTTAAATGGTGCTATGGGTCCAATTCCTACATCTATTTGCTGACTTTGTCAAATTCATTGCCAATATGCTACCAACTAATTGAATGAGATCTCAGGTTTTCATCTTCTGTTCGGCTTGGCACAAATTGCTTAAAATATAATAGTTTCTTTGACATTCTACTACTTACTCGATGATTACGAAATGCCCACTTCACGAGGTTGAAGCCGCGGATATCATGAAAAATTCTCACTTCAAGGTCTTTTTTCTACCGGATAATGAGTGTCGTCAATGATTTTGTTGAGATAACGGGTCACAACATTATAGACTCATCAGAAGTGTCAAACAGGCAGATTCGGATCTTTCTTAACAGATTATGCTCATCAAAATTGAACATATACGTTTCTTGTAGGTCGTTTTTGAAATGCCAATGTTGTTTATATAAATAATGTTGCAATAATTTCGATTGTTTTTTTGCTCGTTTTTTTTTTAATTCCCCAAGGCGTAAATTAAAGTCTTACTACTTCTACTACTTATTGAATGATAATAAATTCCAGGTTTTTTTTCTTTTGGGCTAAAGGTAATGCCGTTGTCTTTGCATCCTAAATCCCGGAATTCGAATCCCGGCCAGACATTGTTTGTTTCAGTATGTAATCTTATTTTTCATCTTGTTTTTTCAGGCCTTATTTTTTTCATAAATTTTCCGGTAAAAAATTGATTTGTCGGAATTTCTTTTAACTGATCAATTTTTGTCGGCTTAGTTGCCACATCAAGGATTTTTTGTGCTATAAAAACGTATGATTACAGTTGCAATTGTTGTTCATTGGGGGGTTCAGGGGGGTTCGAAACTTCTTAATTTTGTATAAAATAATTTTTCTCGGCTTAACTGATGTCTACTGAAAGATGGGCGGCTTTATTTGCGCTTCGTAAGTTTTTTCCCCGCTGCTGACTTTAAATTCAAATTTTCTGCATGACATGTATGCCTAGAAATCCTGTTTGATAAAAACAGGTATTTTTAAAATGTATGGGATTAATTTTTGTGTTTTATTTTTTCCGAGACGCTTTGGATTATTTTTTTCACATTTGAAGAAGTTTTTAATTTTTCTCAAAACTTCTTGAGATTTTGGTTCTTATGAACAGAACGGATTTTGGGAAGCTCCCCTTCACAAACGGCTACACCCGAACTTTTACACTTGAAATTATGACCCTCGAATTAGTCAATTTTTTGGTTTTTTTGACCGTTTTCTCAACGTGACCTCCAAAACTAGGATTGTGGGTTTAATGGACATAAAGGGAAATACGAAGTTCTCCTGCATTAGCAATCACTCACTTTTTTACACAAAAAGTAAAGTTATCGCCCTCAGAAAGTTCAAATTTGTTATTATTGGCATGTTTTATAAACTTTTTGATTTTTTTCTCGATAGCTGCGATAACCCATATCTGATATTCAACAATAATCTTTAATTTTTTTTCAGGCTCAATTTTATTTTTTCCCGGTTTGAATTTTCGTTTATTCACTTCATTATCTTTGTTGAAAAGGAGGGTTTTCCACTATCGAACAGCGAAAGTGTAAATGTCACGAAAAATTTATAGTTTTCTCTTTTACGTGCAATTATGACGATAGTAATCAATCATTCAGTAGCGAAAATGTTTTTTTTCGGAACTTGGAATGGTTTGGTTTTTACCAGTTTTTGTAAAAATTTGGCTGCAGATTATTTCCTGGAGATGCTGATCTGGGTTTATTTTGATTTAAAAATTCTTATGCAGTTGGAAAAATGTGCGAAGTAGATTTTTTTTATTTTTTTTTTCATTATGATTTATTAGTTTTTGTGAGATTTGCTAATCTCCGCTTTGTCTAAATGTTTTAAATGAAAGATGCTAGTGTGACTTAGCGTGGAATTTAGATCCATTGGGTCTTGTCGGAGATTAGAGAGTCAATTCGAGTTCTCATGCATGTTTTATGAGTCCGCTTATTAATTCAAAAATCTTCTTATCGGCCTGCAAAAATTTTAGACATCTCTCTAAAGACTCGGTTAAATTATTTTGCCGATAACATTAATATATGCTATGATTGGGGTCTGGTGTTTGGAAAATTTTGAAAAGTCTTGAAGAAGCAAGAAGCGTCTGCAAATGGTCCTCGTATTGTGACATCGCAATAATTGTTTTAGCTAACCAAAGAGTCGAGTCCATTGATGCCATCTCACGACCATCCGGACAGTTTTCTACCCGAGTTGATTTCAGCAATGGACGAGTTTATTCTCCGAAAGCTAATTCGGTTGCAGGAAAGCTCAAATCGCAACTACAAATCAATGAACTTCGCTCAACTCATCGGCGAATTAGACTTCTTTCTGAGGAAGGATTTCTCAAATTCGTATTTGATTTATCTGCAAGCAGCTAGCAAAGATGCTGAAGTAAAGCATTCAGCCTACTGCACTGCTATTTTTGTTTTGAGCCAGTTTATTAAACTAGCGCATCCAATTATACCATTTATTACTGAAAAACTTAACCAGCAGTTAAAATTTGTGTCTGGATCAAAAGATATTGGGACAATTAATTGGAACAGTATTCTATGTGAGCCTTTTATAACCGATATTGATTTAGAAACTATCTATCGATCTGAATTGAAGGAAAACTGGATTGATGAAGAAGGCGATTTTTTGAACCAACTTGTAAAAGGCGTGACCGAATTAGTAGACAGTGTTTCATGCTCTGTGAGTGAACAGATAGCTTCGAGTGAGAGTGTTTGCCCTTCGAAGTTGCATGTTTTGGTACCCAGTTACCCCCTGATTTCAAAGTCGATTCAAATTTTCTTCAAAAGGAAACTGCAACTTCAATTGTAAGTTGTTTGAAATTTGTATAGTCAATTCTGTCCTTGTAGAAAAAGCTTCTAAATTAAACCGTTACACAAATGTTTTGTGATATTTATTTTCATCAGAAGTTAAATTTTAAATTCTTTTTTCCCATTTAGAATTATGATTAATGGATTATTTTGTTACTTTTTGGCTAATCGAAGTCCATATTGAAGTACCAGAGTCAGTTATGCTGAATCAGATAACCTGACCTATTACTTTTTAAGCGGATATATTGGTGCATATTTTTTTGCTTTCATAAGAATTTTTTGATGTTTTTAGGAAAGGAGTGGAGATTATTCTGACAGACGGCACTTCGTTTGAGGCTTTAAAAATGCTCGAAAATGAAAATGACGCTTTGGAAATTGAAAGCAACCAGCTGAAATTACTCTGCAAATTGATATAACTAGATCTATATTTGTTAATTAAACTACATACGATAGCGATCATAGCAGCGTTGCGAACTCTTTAAATACAAGGCCAATATTGTTTGATAGAAAAGTTCTAATTTTCGACAGCTGATCTGTTGTTTACACTAGCCAGCTTGCGAGCATTAGTGTATTAGTACGAACCTTCTTTTTTTTTCTAATCTAACTAGCAAATAAAAATGTTCAGAAAAAGTGACCTCTTATTTGGTGCCACTTTTGCTGTAACCACGATCTGTAGCATTGGAAATTTCATAGCATCTGTTCTCTGCTTTATTTATGGCTAGTGTTTGTGTTACATTAAGCGTCCGTGGCTGAGTGGTAATTGCGTGAGACTCATTATCTCTAGGTCGCAGATCAAATCCGTGACACAGCCGAACCTTTACTAATTCAAGACTTATTTCGACTTTCTTTATGCACTTTGTAAAGCTGTTTCTTTTCGTGTTCTCGCTAGTGTTTGCGGTGATGTGGAGAAATTTTGGATTCTGTTGTTTTTCCAAACAAACCCAGCTACCTTAAATAAACCTCAAATAAGGCCTGATATTCATTAAAAGCCTTTCAGATAGTCGGAGCTGCAGTAAGTCTTTATATTTTTCTTGGACAATTTAGAGAAGAAGTTGATGAATTGGTCGCCGGAATTACTTCTAAAATATAGAACTCTGCATAATAAGTTTGTTACTGAGCAGACCATGATACTAGAAATTGGTTCCTTACATTGAAAATGTTATAAATTAAATAGAATTTTTTTTCGATTTAATAGTAAACATCACTATGCACACTGATCGGCTATTCGTTTTGTTTTATGCACAAAACAATATTTTGCCTGCTTTTTCAAAATCTGTCTGTGGGGCAGAAAATTTGGCCAAACCATCGTCTTTTTTTTGGGAACTTGTTTTTTGTTTATTTTGAAGTTATTTTGGTAGTTTTTGATTAAGCCACTACTTTTTCGGCGACCAGTTGGTAGTTCTGGCAATAGCCAGTAGCGCTAATTAATAACAAAGCAGCTCGAGATTAAAATACAGGAAGGCAATATATAAAGTATGAACACTGAACTCTGCTTGACATAATGGTAGCGTGAATACCTAATCTGATCAGCCAAGTGATTGATCTCAACAGGCAGGTTAACAACAGCCAATCAGATGAAAAAGCAGACAACTACTAACAAAGCAGATTCGTGGATGGTCGCTTTCAGCATTACTACTTCTAACTCCTATGACACGATTTGCCAAGTGAGCTACTATCACGCAGAGAAAAAGAAGTAGATTAAAAAATGTTTTTAACATCAAAGCTTTTAGGTAGCGCAGTAACTGACTTAAAAAGTTTTAGGTTTTTCCCGCCGTAAAAGCGCATCAAAAAGAAATAAAGCCAGCGCTGATACAAACGTCATCCAAATATAAAATCCATTGAAGATATGTGGATTAGTTGCTTTATTTTAAGCTATTTTTTTAAACAAATTTTCTCCTTAGTTTGACTAGGGGCTTTGCCTTGTGTCGTTTTTTGTATCAAACAAATTCCATTCATCAAGTTTTATTATAATTTTGCACGCGCAAGTAGAATTCGCGACTTTTGCATGAACTGAGATAGAAGACTTCCATCAATTCGAATGACTTTTCTGATCATAAAACGGAGTAGCAGCCATACCAGGACCACAACAAGCTAACTTCTTGCAACTAACTGTGCGGGACAATGCATCTCGATTTTATCACAGGCTAACCAACAACGATTCGATCTAGTGCAATCACAAGACTTCTATTGTAATCTCGGCTTCACGAAGTCGACGTTCTTACATTGGAACATTTCTGCTTCAGCTCAAAAGCGGATATTCCGTCCTCGTCATCTTTTCCACCTCATGTCGAGGTTTTGACGTCTTTTTTGTACGTTAGTAGTCTCCACTGGTTAGGATGGATGACCAACATCGTCAAATAGGTCTTCTAAGTTTTAACGAAGGTCTCTTGAGACAGATGAAAGGGCTCAAGTATTGACTTTCTTGATGATACGCTTGTAAAACATTTTGACTCGTCCACGAGAGGTATTTTAAATTGCAGGTCCGGTTTAGCCAGGAATGTCATTCTGGTGTAGCGAGTCGGCTTTACTCGCAGCAAATGACCAAGGTACCTCCACTGCCTGCGACGGACTATATTGGAAAATGTTTTTCTGTTTTACCACACATTTTCATGACATTGTCGTTTCATGATAATCTCGGGAATTTCCTCGTGCGTTTTATGAAATATGTAATTGGGCACTTAACGACAAAGTACCACAAAGCTAATCAATGCTCTTGCGAAGCTGCCTGCAAATCAGGAACAAATTGCGAAGCAGCTCAACGAAATGCGATTATACATAGTTGATCAGACGAAATTTTTTTCTGAATTTTCTTTCAAAACAACTTAGACTATACAAATAAAGAAATCTGGTAAGAAAATTTCGGAACACAACAATTTTAAGTCAAAAAGACAATTTAGATATGACTATCAATAAAAACCGATTCATTTGGCTCAGAAGACCACAATTTATCAGAGAATGACTACGTTAGAGAAACAGTCAGCTTCATTTTTCCAGTCCTTCAACCAAGCGAAGTTTCAAGTAATGAATCCAATTGCATATCAACAATATCCGCTAGGGTATCAAAACAAGCAGTACCCAGCCGTTTATCTTAGTCGAATATCTCAACCGATGAGGCACGATTGGTTTTGCCTCATCGGTTGAGATATTTAACTATCGTAAATGGCTGGGTCCTGCTTGCTTTGGCTTCACAGCGGATGTTGTTGACATGCAATTGGCTTCATCACCTCAGATGCAAACCTGCTAACTACATAGAACCTCAGCAAAGTTTTGCGATTCCGAAACAATTTGAAAACAAAGCTCTCAACGGATTTTTTTGCCCTTGATTCAAGCATCAACCAGCATCCAGCAAAATTCTATGAAGTAACTTTGGCAAAAACTTTATTTTGGAGATCAGGACGTGTTTAGTGGAGATGTTTTTATTCTTGAAAGATGGATAACTCTTTTGTTTCCATGCGCTTTTCGACAACATGCATCAAGGATTTTACTAATTCTGATATAATTTTTTTGTTCTATGCGTGGTTTTGTTTACTTTATAAAAGGTTGAGACATTTTTCTCGTTCATGATTCTTGTTTGGCTATGGTGGCCGGTTCTGTTCCAAATGGGGCCAATTTTTGCTCTTGAAAATAGAAATAACGGCTCGGAAGCTACAAGACAAACCGAAATTTCCAGTTCTTGTCCAGACTACTTTTTTTACAAATATAAAAGAATTCACCTTTGAAGTAATTCTTGATCCAACAATTGAGCTTTATCCTACTCTGTATTCCAAATTTAGCAGATGTAAGGGTGACTTACAGAAACATGACTTTTATGCAAAACAATGAAAAACGAGAACGTTTCAAACAGAAGTTTGATGTGCGTCAGGATTCATTAAAAAATTTTAATGAATCATGATGATATGCTTGTAAGACAATTTGACTCGTCCACGAGAGGTCTTTTAAATTGCGGGTCCGGTTTAGCCAGGAATGTCATTCTGGGGTAGCGAGTCGGCTTTACTCGCAGCAAATGACCAAGGTACCTCCACTGCCTGCGACGGACTATATTGGAAAATGTTTTTCTGTTTTAACACACATTTTCATGACATTGTCGTTTCATGATAATCTCGGGAACTTCCTCGTGCGTTTTATGAAATGTGTAATTGGGCACAAGCAAAATACATTTCTCGAAATCTATGAAATGAATGTTTAAACAGAAGACGGATTAAACCAAGTTAACGACAAAGTACCACAAAGCTAATCAATGCTCTTGCGAAGCTGCCTGCAAATCAGGAACAAATTGCGAAGCAGCTCAACGAAATGCGATTATACATAGTTGATCAGACGAAATTTTTTCTGAATTTGCTTTTAAAATAACTTAGACTATACAAATAAAGTAATCTGGTAAGAAAATTTCGGAACAATAATTTTAAGTCAAAAAGACAATTTAGATAAGACTATCAATAAAAACCGATTCATTTGGCTCAGAAGACCACAATTTATCAGAGAATGACTACGTTAGAGAAACAGTCAGCTTCATTTTTCCAGTCCTTCAACCAAGCGAAGTTTCAAGTAATGAATCCAATTGCATATCAACAATATCCGCTAGGGTACCAAAACAAGCAGTACCCAGCCGTTTACCTTAGTCGAATATCTCAACCGATGAGGCACGATTGGTTGTGCCTCATCTGTTGAGATATTTGATTATCGTAAATGGCTGGGTACTGCTTGCTTTGGCTTCACCGCGGATGTTGTTGACATGCAATTTGCTTCATCGCCTCAGATGCAAACCTGCTAACTACATAGAACCTCAACAAATTTTTGCGATTCCGAAACAATTTGAAAACAAAGCTCTCAACGGATTTTTTTTGCCCTTGATTCAAGCATCAACCAACATCTAGCAAAATTCTATGAAAAAACTTTGGCGAAATTTTTTTTTTGGAGATCAGGACGTGTTTAGTGGAGATATTTTTGTTCTTGAAAGATGGATAACTCTTTTGTTTCCATGCGCTTTTTGACAACATGCATCAAGGATTTTACTAATTCTGATATAATTTTTTTGTTTTATGCGGGGTTTTGTTTACTTTATAAAAGGTTGAGACATTTTTATCGTTCATGATTCTTGTTTGGCTATGGTGGCCGGTTCTGTTCGAAATCGGGCCAATTTTTGCTCTTGAAAATAGAAATAACGGCTCAGAAGCTACGAGACAAACCGAAATTTCGAGTTCTTGTCCTGAATACTTTTTTACAAATATAAAAGAATTCACCTTTGAAGTAATTCTTGATCCAACAACTGATCTTTATCCTACTCTGTATTCCAAATTTAGCAGATGTAAGGGTGACTTACAGAATCATGACTTTTGTGCAACACATTGAAAAACGAAAAGGTTTCAGACAGAAGTTTGTAGCGCATCAGGATTCATTAAAATTTTTTAATGAATCATGATGATATGCTTGTAAGACAATTTGACTCGTCCACGAGAGGTCTTTTAAATTGCGGGTCCGGTTTAGCCAGGAATGTCATTCTGGGGTAGCGAGTCGGCTTTACTCGCAGCAAATGACCAAGGTACCTCCACTGCCTGCGACGGACTATATTGGAAAATGTTTTTCTGTTTTAACACACATTT